GGACAATATACTCTTGGGTCCTCTACTAAGCAAGTTTACCATTGTTCCAGTGGTTTTAAACTTCTTAATTGTTGCCCTAATAGTGGTATAAGTGGTATAACTCACTTTTCAGTATTTGTTTATACCCATTGCCTGATCTATAAAGTTTACAACCATTAGTTTTAAAGTTTTTTTTATACCCATTGCTTGATTTATGAAAGTCAACAACCATTTGTCTATTCATTTGTGAGTTCTTTGCCTTTCCCCATGATGGACGACATATGGATTTTACATGTGTGTTACCTCATTTTTATACCCCAGTGAAACAGGAAGCCATTTCAGGCTAGTAGAACCTTTAGATTTGCCAATAATTTTGACATATCTTTTAGAGATGTTTTATTTTTTTACTTATTCAACAAAATCTCTTTCTCCAAGCAATTTTTTTAGCATAAAACAATATCATTTCCCTTTTTTTTTTTGCATACAATATAGCTCAGTATTTGTATTATCTATTTTAAACAGTCTTTTTTGCTCATCTTTATCAAGGGTACCAATCATGTTGGAGGTGACTAACAGCCCTGGGAGAATGATTTGAAAATGCATCTCTCCTTCCTGTCTTCCTTGGAGTGATTGCTGATCTGAAATGACTGGTCAGATGAAAGCTTTGAGATACCGTGGCTTTTACCTTTTGAATCCCATCAGAAGGAAGCGAAGTAGCAGTTAATAGTAGTCTAGCTCCTCGCTATAAGCTACTATACCAGATTTTCTCTCTTTTGTATATCTGATGGCTATAGTTTTTTTTGTTGACCTGGCATGTTTCCTCTAGATTCAACTGGTAAAAAGGCAACGCTAACACAGACCAAGGGAGATAGAATGAGGGCCAGTGTGTGTTGATGCGATGGCTCACGGCTCCACACAGTGGGTCTGTTTTCCTCTTTATCCCTTGAGCGCTCACTCTCCCTCTGTGTGTGTCTCTCTCTCTGTGTGTGTGTGTCTCTCTCTCTCTCTCTCTCTCTGTGTGTATGTGTGTGTGCGTGTATAGAAGTCAAGGTCAATGATACACCGTAGGTGCGATGTTTATTTTGTTCCCTGATTGCCGCTGTCCAATTAGCCACTTGAGTGGCTGCTGTACACTTTGATGTATTTGTCCAGGAGTGAGGATGCAGGGCTCGCCCTTCTCCCAGCCACCCCTGTTTTAGAACTCATTAACTGCTTGAATGGCCTCCGACTTTGGCGCCTGTCTGGTGCTAAGGCCATTTCATGACACATAAGCTAGCTGCTTCGGGGAGACAAAACAAATGACCTTCCATGTAAAATGTCCCTGTGGTATGGTTTGGTAGTATTGGGATGCTGCTCTGTGTGTGTAGTGTGTAACTTGATGTTGTACACCGTACTGTGTTATTGTGCTCCTGTAAACCACTGGAGAAGCCTGAGGGAGATGGCTGGTTGCTATCATGGTGGCAGGTTTACATTTTCAGTTATGCAGTCAGTCATGGAAATTAGAATTACTAGTATTACATGGGATTAGTCCATCTGTGTATGCTACAGTACATCAATCATACTGTATGTGCAGTGTGCACTATGAAATGTAATATATCATGATATGTGTTGACGTGCAGTGATCACTGGAGACGTTTGGTATTATAAATGTAAATTGGGTAAAAATACCATTAATTTCACCCTTCTGTTTGTCTTGTCTCCAGATTTTCTTGTTGCTATGATCATTGCAATGTGAATAACCAATCGGCTGTTTCTAAAAATGTTCAACTATGAATGTGGCCAATTGTGCAGCAGTAACAAGTGAGCATAACAAGCTGTTTCAGTCCAAGTCCATTAAGACACTGCAGGTGAACAACAGACTACATTACATTCTTCCAGACTCCTGGCTGATAAACTAAAAGGAGACATTCCCCTGGGACAATTAGCCCAGTGCAGGTTTACTTCACAAAGGCAGTTGTAAGTGTTTCTCTCCTGGCTCACGCTTTCAGAACCCTGGACAGCGCTCCTACGGCAACTGCAGTTCATTAATTTTATTTGTCACTTGCTCCGAATACAACAGGTGTAGACTTTACCGTGAAATACTTACAGGGCCCACAGCAACCATTTCACTGTTAGTCTGAGCTCTTAGTAAGAAGCTCCCACAGTGCTCTATTGTCCTCTCAATTACCTTCCTCGCTTTCATTATACTGGAGTCAAATGCAGAAAGGAAGTAATGCAGTGTGAAAGTAACATTAGATCGGAACACATTCTCCTCAATTTGGATCTCAACGCTAGGTTTTAGTTTCTCCAGCTCGCCAAGATCAACCACAATGAATATTCAATAAAACCCAGTCCTATGTGTCATGAATGCTCCAGACTGTGTGCTGTATGTGCTGTGTGTACTGTGTGTGCTGTATGTACTGTGTGTGCTGTATGAACTGTATGTACTGTATGTGCTGTATGTGCTGTATGTACTGTGTGTGCTGTATGTGATGTCTGTGCTGTATGTGATGTATGTGCTGTATGTACTGTATGTGCTGTGTGTACTGTGTGTGCTGTGTGTACTGTATGTGCTGTATATACTGTGTGTGCTCTGTGTACTGTGTGTGCTGTATGTACTGTATGTTCTGTATGTACCGTGTGTACTGTGTGTGCTGTATGTGCTGTGTGTACTGTATGTACTGTATGTGCTGTATGTGCTGTGTGTAGTGCGTGTGCTGTATGTGCTGTGTGTGCTGTGTGTACTGTATGTGATGTATGTACTGTGTGTGCTGTACATACTGTATGTACTGCATGTGCTGTATGTGCAGTATGTACTGTGTGTGCTGTATGTGCTGTGTGTGCTGTGTGTACTGTATGTGCTGTATATACTGCGTGTGCTCTGTGTACTGTGTGTGCTGTATGTACTGTGTGTGCTGTATGTACTGTATCTACTGTGTGTGCTGTGTGTACTGTATGTGCTGTATGTACTGTATGTGCTGTGTATACTGTGTGTGCTGTATGTCCTGTGTGTACTGTGTGTGCTGTATAATAATAATAATAAGCCATTTAGCAGACACTTTTATCCAAAGCGACTTACAGTCATGCGTGCATACATACCATTTATTTTTATTTTTTATGGGTGGTCCCGGGGATCGAACCCACTACCTAGGCGTTACAAGCGCTGTGCTCTACCAGCTGAGCTACAGAGGACCACCCATACACAGCACACACAGAACACACAGCACATAAATGTGCTGTGTGTTCTGTATGTGCTGTTTGTACTGTATGTACTGTATGTGCTGTATGTGCTGTGTGTGCTGTGTGTGCTGTATGTGCTGTATGTGCTGTATGTACTGTATGTGCTGTGTGCTGTATGTGCTGTGTGTGCTGTATGTGCTGTGTGTACTGTATGTACTGTGTGTACTGTGTGTGCTGTATGTACTGTGTGTGCTGTATGTGCTGTGTGTGCTGTGTGTGCTGTATGTGCTGTGTGTACTGTATGTACTGTGTGTGCTGTATGTACTGTATGTGCTGTGTGTTCTGTGTGTACTGTGTGTACTGTATGGTTCTGTAGTGCTAAACGGTGTGTGTGTCTGTTCATAATGTAGCCCTGGTTCAGGGCCTGGGCCGGGGTTGGAGCCACTCACGGTCGGTCCTCAAGAAGTCATTGAGCAGCTGGAAGAGAGGGAAGCTGTCCCAGCTGTCAGGGGGCTGAACCTCCAGTGCAGCATCCATGTCCACTGCATACAGAGACAGGAAGGTCTCTGCATGCTCCACCATCAGGTCTGACCACCACGCAAATGCCTAGAGAGAGAGAAGGAGTGTAGAATGAAAGAGAAAAGAACAATACATAGACAAAGAGAAAGGAGAGAAGGGGGTATGAAAGAAAGAGATACACGGTAGAGAGAAGGAGAGGAATGTGCAGATAAAGGAAGTTTGAGGAAAATAAATAGAGGGTGAAAGAGGGGGAAAGGGAGGCAGGTGGAGAAACAGACAAAGATAGAGGGACAGAAACACAAATGGAGGATAAGAATATGCAAATATAATACAAGCCTCAAAGTGTCATTCTCTAGAGAGGAAGGGAAGATAATGTTACTCCACCGATCTATATAAGGGCTCTTTTCTTCTCTTGTTTTCACAGTAAGAGTCAAGTTGTCACCTCTGAGGCATCACACAGAGATCTCTGGGGGACACTTTACAGCTTTGAGCACAGTGTTTCAGTTCTGCGCTCGAGCACGGCTAAACGTGCGCTGTTCTGTTGGCCCACAGAGAGAGACACACAGAGAGCTGTGTAGACACGGCTCCTTGACTAAGTCATTCATACAGCGCTGCTCTGAGCCTCCCCATAGGATAGACCGAATCAGTGGAGTGACAGAGTCTGGAACGGGCTGGTCTCATGCAGGTTAACACTCATCCTCCCATGCTTCCCCTCTCCCTGCCCATGGTCATCTGGGCCAGTCAGCCATTCACATCGTCACACCTCTGTGATGTGAATGTTCCCATGGGCGTCATGCACTCTGGCATGGGACAGTTGGCATGACAGCGCCAGCAGCAACCAGCAACAGACTCAGGGTCAAAATGGAGAGGCTCGTAACCATAAATAAAACTGTCATTACAGGCCTCGAGCAGTGGGAGCATCTACTGATTCTCCACATTGGGTAACAGTTAAGGTTGGTTTAATTTCCATTCAAGTCAATTCATGAACTGTATTTGCCATGGCATACACTATACACAGAAATGTTATTAGATTCGCCAATTGACTTGAATAAAAATGGAATTGACTCAAACTGACTTGTACATGGATAAGGTGACTGAGGGTACTGGGTTGAGAAGGAGTGGAAGATGTGTCTATTTCTGGTTATGCTGGTCTATTGACAGAGTTAGTGTAAATTTTTGATGGGAAAATTCACACACAATGCATTTTGAGAAATGCAAGAGGGGATAGAGGGGTCACGTTACCTCAGACAAATGACATGCTTTTTCCATTGAGAGTAATCAGGTCTACAATGGAGGAGGATCAGCTTGTTGGGTGGAGGTGACTGGATCACCTCTCTTACCTGTCACACAGCTTTCCCCAAACACACAGCACCACAGATCAGGCCTTTCACTGACAGGATGGGACCAGAGTTGGCTGTGGCAGTTGGGATGGACAGATAAAACTGCACCATACCAAGTGGGGAGGGGCGGAGTGATGTGGTCGGGGGGTATTTCAGTGGGAGGGATCTGAGTATGATAGACAGGGACACTGCCACAGTGCTTGTTGAGGATGCTTTTTCACCAAAGGCAACCTTTTGTGCTGCACAAGCACTTGCACAACTCTCCAGGATGGGCTGAAAACAAGTATAAGGGAAGAAGTTGGGGTAATACTAGGAAGAGAGATGGGAACAGTTAAGATTATCCCTGGGCATTGGGCATCTTCAGTACATCACATAATATGGGAGGTGGAGGGTGGCAGGGGTTAGGGGTCATGGCAGGTGGGGGGGTGACAGGGGTTAGGGGTCATGGCAGGTGGGGGGTGGCAGGGATAAGGGGTCATGTTATCAGGATTTGAGGATCTATCACATACCTCTTTGCCCTGTCCGAACATTCCCCGCAAACAAAACAAACAATAAGAGAACAGGAAGTGGTTCAGCCAAGTATACTTCTGCAAAGTTCACATCCCTGTGTTGACTTTTTCCTTCTAATGGTTAGTTGGCAGGAAATATGTGATGATGACAGTGAAAGAAAGACATGATACAAACCAATGGAGAACAAAATAGTAGTTTAATTTACCAACCATACTCAAGAGCTCAAGGTCTGTTAAAAAAAAAGTATACATTCTCTTTTGTGAGTAAACATAATATGCATGAGGAAAACCATGCACTTGGACTAGCCTTCACATAATCAATAGACACAGTTGGTGTTAAAAATGGGTCGCTGAGGTCTGTAAATTCTCTTCACATTTCCAGAAAGAGTACAAATACAGTGTGATGCAACAACAGGATGATAGAGTCTGAATCATCATCACACCCAACCTCCACTACACTACACTACACTACACTACACTACACTCCACTACACTACACTACACCGCTCTACCAGCACCATGCAACTTCTGTTGGGGACACCCTCATTTACAGGAAGAGCAACTTGTGACATCACCGGGAAAACCTTCCTAGCGCCTAGGGTAGGATATGATGTAATAGGGTTAATTAAAGCCCTGTTGGGTATTCCCTTCTAGGAGGCCTGTACAGGAAACAGAGTGACCAAATCAGAAGTCCCCCAGTCAAACTGTGCACTGCTCAACGTTGTCCTCCCAAACGATGCCTGGTGCACATGAAATAGAGGAGTGAGGAGTGATGCAACCATTTTGACCTTTAAACCCACACCTTGACCCCCTACCGTGCAGGCCAATGCGGTCTGGATAGCATGCACCGGTGAGATATGGAGGTAAAAAAAACTGATGTAAATACTGTACCGACTGTGACTGTAGCCTGTTAAACAGAGTCAGAGACAGAATAAATGCCACATGGTTCTCTGTAGTTCTTAACTCTCTGCTCTGATAATAACTGACCTTGGATTCATGTATGTGGACTGTACTCACCTCTGCGTGGTGCTCCTCATTCTGTTGGAGGACCTCGATGACCAGCTCGGCCAGACGTATGGTGTCCTCCAGCTTTTTGGCAGGGGTGACTAAGCGCCCTACATTCTCTGAAGCACAAAGGTCACAGGTCAATATGGAGGGAGATACATGGCTGTAAAACTTCCCCTCAACGTCTGTTCAACATGATGCTAATGTTGGGCTGTTGTGTAAGCCTCCTAGGGCAACACTGTAATACCACCATCTAGAACAATGCAGGTATAATGAGACAAATTAAAACAGGGAAAACAACGGATATGTTCTACAGTTATCATGCAAAATGTGCAGAACGTCGTGCATCGCTCATGTTCGGTATGTGCTGACATCCACACTTTGAATGTTGCTTATGTGAGATGCTCATGTTTAACATGTGATATGCAAAACGACTCTCCCTGAAGTCTGGTACTTTTCCCCTGCTAAGTAGGATAGCTGTGACAACCAGGATAAATATAACCACTAAGAAAGTGTAGAGTGCAAGTATTGGCAGGTTTTTACATCAAATCCATCTTGAAGAACAAAATACACAATGAAAGTCTGCTGTTCACATTAGAGGTCTTCACGGATCCACCTGTACCCGGATACCGGAGACCCGATCTGGGACCCGAGCGGGTCCTGTTCCAGAATTTTAAATAATGTCACGGGTCTGATCTGATTGTCACGGGTCTCGGATGTCTGTAATCTTAACTGACTTGTCCGGAAGGGCCTGTACAGATCCGAACGCGACTGCTGCAGTAGAGAGAGAAAGAGAGATATATTTTATCATGTATGCTGCTGCTCTTGCTTTTCACGAGAGTGGAGCGTGGCGCGTGTAGCTTGTTGTTGGCCAATCGTAAGTCATCAAAGCGGCAATAGGCTACAGTCATAGAGCCTCCGTGTGGCAAAAGTTAGGAGATATCTAATCAATGGAAGATGGAATTTAAATGACGGAATTAAAAGTTAAAGGAGAAGGATAGGCTACAACGACCAAGAGCCAACCGGTAGGCTGCTACTTAATATTCTGAATGGAGTTGTTGTTATTTGTAACTGTAGGATGAGAAAACGCATGCACTGCAGCCTCAATTAGCCTAGCTAGCTAACGTTAGCTAGCTTAACTAGCTTCTCTCCGGTTTGATACAGTCAAGACAGGTACTACGTAATCATATTTGATGATAAATAACCTAGCTATGGCAGTTATTAGTCCACTATCGGCTTGGTTGGTTGCTGTCTCTAGTCTCTCCCTCCCTCCTCCCTCCCTCCTCCCTGCTCCCCGTGTCACTCGCTCACAGTATGGCCCCTCCCCCGCCTGCTAGAGCGGGACCTCTCTCTCCCTCCTCTCGCACTTTATCAGCTCCGGTTAATAAAGTAGCTTAAAAAAATCACTTTTCTGCGGCTTCCCTCACTCGGATCGGACTGGGTCTGGATCCGACCAGGTCTATACGGAACAGATCTAGTTGTCCTCAGGTCTGTTCGGAACGGGTCTCTACACTTTTTAAATTTATTTTTGCATATTGGGCCCGGGTGTGAAAAACCCCAGGTCCAACTTTGGACACGTGAAGACCTCTAGTTCACATACTTTACTCAATGGATACCAATTCAGTCTACAGCGATCATGTGACGAAACACAACCAGCTCAACTGACCAATGAGGTTGTGATGATACTACACATAAATGTTTGCTTTTGAAATAAATAAAATAATAATAAATATGGTGAAGAGATGGTATATGTGAGAGAGAGAGTCAGCATAGGTAACTGGAGAACTGCGTAGGAGCCTATACAATAACATATTGGGTGCTCGTTCAGACTTCAGGGCATCTGAGGGTCAAACATCTTTAGATATGCCTGATTCACCCTCTTAATGAATCAGTCGGACAGACTTTTCACAACAACACTGGCTTACTTGACTTATTTTCCATTTCTCTTTACAGTCCCAGTAAAATGGAGAGATTAATGTGACAATGTGGACTTCTACACTTGAAGAAATGAGGCAAAGACCATGTCCTCTCCACGCTGCTTCTGCTCTTTGTCCAGCACACACATCTGTCATTGTGCTAGTGAGGCTCTGTAGTAGCAGGGGTTTCATTGGCAGTGTACAGAGGTACAGCTCTGTGACCCACACACACTGGCAGAGCACTTTAAGCCCAGTGGTGTCTGTGGACTGGACTGTGGCCAGAGGATTGCCTGTGTTGAAATTATGGTCTGTTCACCAGTATGGATGGAGGGTTTAAAAGAATGCCCGCAAACACAAAGGTAATTTCTTCCATTGGTCAATGAAGGGGCATGGGTGCTGGAGTGATACAGGTGAGGTGAGGGGCAAGGCCAAACACCTAGATCTTCTATAACAGAAACTCAGTATTGCCACATTCTACAGTATAAGGGATGTCCGCTTCTTTTTTAGTCAGTTACTGATTTAGACCTGGGAAACCAGGTGTGAGCGCCGTCTAATCAGTGACATTTAATGATTAATTACATCTCACACAGTGACACCAGCAAGACTGTGAACCTGAAACAGTCTGAAGTGACATTAATAATGATGAAGACTATGTGCTATCATGATCTACGATATCATCTTGCTTCACTTACTTATTTCCAATCTATCAAAATTGCCATTGATAGAACATTATGGTCATATGGACAATATCAGCCAGAATATCCAAACCGTCTCATCAGTCATATTTTGTAACCAAACTTTGATATTAGGTTTTTATTCAAATCCTTTGCATTTTAGTACATTGAAGTGTCACGCCCTGACTCAGGGGACTCTTATATGTTGAGTCAGGGTGTGTATATTCTTTGTGGTGTTTTTTCTATGTTTTGATCTATTATGTGTAGATCTATGTTGGCCGGTGTGGTTCCCAATCAGAGGCAGCTGTAGCTCGTTGTCTCTGATTGGGGATCATACTTAGGCAAGCCTATTGGCACTAGTGGGTTGTGGGATCTTGTTCCTTGTAAGGTATGTTGTGTGTGCTACCTTGGACTTCACGTTTCGTTTCTTGTTTTGTCAAGTGTTTATTGGTTTAATAAACATGTACGTATATCACGCTGCGCCTTGGTCTGTCCCGTCATTAAACGAACGTGACAGAAGATCCCACCAAACGAGGACCAAGCAGCGTGTCCAGGCGGAGCGGATGGCCATGTCACAGGTGGCCAATTTGTGGTCATGGGAGGAGATATTCGTGGGGAAAGGACCATGGGCTAAGGTAGATGCCCAGGCAGGAGAGGAGCAATGGCAACGCGGAGGAGGCCGGTCGAGGAGGAAGCCCGAGAAGCAGCCCCAAGAAAATGTTTGGGGGGGGGCACACAGGGTGGTTGGCGGAGCCTAGGGTTAGAGCAGAGCCAACTCCCCGTACTCACGCGAGGAAGCGTATGACTGGGCAAGCTCCGTGTTATGCGGAGCTACGTACTGTGTCGCCAGTGCGCCGGCACAGTCCTGTACGTCCTCTGCTTGCACCACGCACGTGCCGTGCGAAGATGGGCATCCAGCCAGGACGGGGTGTGCCGGCTCAACGCTCCTGGTCTCCAGTACGCCTCCTCGGTCCCGCATATCCTGCGCCAGTTCTACGAACGGTATCGCCAGTGCGCGTGCACAGCCCAGTGCGTCCTGTGCCAGCGCCCCGCACGTGTAGTGTGAAAGTGGGCAGCCAGCCAGGACGGGTTGTGCCAGCTCTCCGCTCCAGACCTCCAGTCCGCCTTCACAGTCCGGCCCGGCCCGTTCCTGCTCCTTGCACCAAGCCAGTGGTGCGCGTCGCCAGTCCGGCCCGGCCTGTTCCTGCTCCTCGCACAAAGCTAGTGGTGCGCGTCGCCAGTCCGGCCCGGCCTGTTCCTGCTCCTCGCACCAAGACAGTGGTGCGCGTCACCAGTCCGGCCCGGCCTGTTCCTGCTCCTCGCACCAAGCCAGTGGTGCGCGTCGCCAGTCCGACCCGGCCTGTTCCTGCTCCTCGCACCAAGCCAGTGGTGCGCTTCGCCAGTCCGGCATGGCCCGTGCCCGTTCCACCGGTGCCTGATCCAGTTCCGGTCAGCTGTTCCACTCCGGAACCAGAGCAGTCCGCTCCACCGGTGCCTGATTCTGCTCCGGTCAGCGGCTCCACTCCGGAGCCAGAGCAGTCCGCTCCACCGGTGCCTAGTCCAGCTCCGGTCAGCAGCTCCAGTCCGGAGCCTGACGTCAGCCCCTCTCCAGGTTCGGGGTCTCTCACACCAGGGTCCAGACAGGGTCTGGTGTATCGTGGGAGGAAGGAGAGGGGAAGCGGCGCGCTGAGGTCCAGACCGGACCAGGGGCGTAATGGGGGGGAGGAGAGATTGTGGTCGTCACGCCCGGAGCCGGAACCGCCTCCGAGGCGTAATGCCCACCCGGACCCTTCCCTGTCATGTCAGGTTGGTGCGGTCGGAGTCCGCACCTTTGGGGGGGGGGGGGGGGGGGAGGGGGTACTGTCACGCCCTGACTCAGGGGACTCTTATATGTTGAGTCAGGGTGTGTATATTCTTTGTGGTGTTTTTTCTATGTTTTGATCTATTATGTGTAGATCTATGTTGGCCGGTGTGGTTCCCAATCAGAGGCAGCTGTAGCTCGTTGTCTCTGATTGGGGATCATACTTAGGCAGCCTATTGGCACTAGTGGGTTGTGGGATCTTGTTCCTTGTAAGGTATGTTGTGTGTGCTACCTTGGACTTCACGTTTCATTTCGTTTATTGTTTTGTCGAGTGTTTATTGGTTTAATAAACATGTACGTATATCACGCTGCGCCTTGGTCTGTCCCGTCATTAAACGAACGTGACATGGAGATGTTTATAGACTATAGTTCATGCACTTTCTGCAGAGGAAGTAATACTTTCATTGCACAACTTATGAATTCAAACACTGCTGTCTTACATGTATTGAAGCTTGCAATAAAGCAGTGCTACCTCTGCAGGTTTCAATCACACAAGTGAGATACTCAATGGCAATGGTCTGAATGGTCTTAAAATTGTTCTTTCTGTTCATTTGTTTGCTAATTCCCTCCATCTTCTCTTTTCCTCCCTTCCTCATTCCCTCACTTCTTTTCTTCCCCTCCTTCTTGACATTATTATTATTTTTGTAGGAAAGAGGAAGCATCATTGTAGGAAAGTGGAAGAATTTTAAGATAATTCAGAGGAGGCCCATTGGTGGAGCTACTCCACAGATGAGTGGTCTTAACAGGAGGGCTAGAGAGGGGACTTGACAGTTAGGGTTACCACAGTCACCCACTGGGGAGGGCTGCATCTCCATCACTGGAATGCAGTGCAGGTACATGGGAAACTACAGGACAGGGGTGTGGAGACATAACGCTGTCACAACATTCCTGTAACTTTCCCAGGTCGTGCCTCAGGAAGGCTGTGAGATGTTATGTTGCTATGTCTCTAACTGGGTTAGGATATGCTCATATATAGGATGATGTCACCTGGATCCTGATCCTTTTGATCTTTCTTATCTTTCTGAGTTTTCTCCGCTAGGAGAGAGCAGGAGAGAGGGAGAGCAGAGAAGGAGAGAGAGGGAAGGTGGGAGTGAGAGAAAGAGAGAGAAGAGTGGATAGTCAGTAATGAAAGCATAAGAGCAGGATAGAGTGGAAGTCCAGAAAACAAGTGGTTGAGTAACACCTTTCACCCTTCACACAAGGGTTCTCCTCTCCAGATCTGATGTTTACCAGTAGTACGACATAGACACACATATAGCTTCAAACAGTAAAACATATACAGACAGTGGTCCAAACAACCCCCCCCCCCCCCCCCCCCCCCCCCCCCCCCAGTGTGAACTGATACAAACAGGGAAAGTCATGACAATGTTCTCTATGATACAGTAGCTGTATGGTGTACCTGTATCATGTACTGTACTAGTGGGACATGGTTCAACAGGACTGAGGGGGGTTTACACAGAAGCAAAGTAAAAATGCATTCAAGTCGCAGACAGGCATGGGAACAGAAAAATAAGCTGACAGATACAGTAGATAAGATATCTCATGATCTTCACAGACTGTTGGAGCCTTGGTCCTGGCTTGCCTTGCTAGGACCTAACAGACAGACAGACAGACACAGACCCTGGGCCTGGATCTCTTGAAGGTGCCTTTCACAGACAGAAGCAACAGATCAAAAGGCAAAGGACTTGAGAGAAGCGAGAGCGAGAGCGAGAGCGAGAGCGAGAGCGAGAGCGAGAGCGAGAGATTGGTTAAGAGGGCAGCAATGAATGGTGGTAAGTGCAAATGGAGAGATGTTGAAAACAGAAAAACATGGTTGAGGAAAGGGGAGGAAGAGGAAGGGGTGGAGGAGTGTGGAGCAGGAGAGGAAGGTACTCACGAATGGTTAAATCCATCACTTGAGACGCCAAGCAGAAGACAGGATGCTCATACATTTCTCTCTTTTTCCCTACAAGAGAGGATCGGGCATGCAAGAGGCTGGGGTCAGAGGAGGAGAGGTCAGAGTTCTGAGGGTAGCTGCATGTGGGGGTTAGGGGTCCCCACAGGGTTCTCTGTGGAGATGGTGGTGGTGGAGGGTGGGGTTTGACGACTGAGGAGAAGGTTTGGGATGGGCCCGAAGTGTCGAATGTGGAGGAGAGTGGGTGGGTGGACAAAGGGCGTGCGGGCTGGCGGTCGCCTTTGTACACACTTTTGTTTAACCATTCATGCCAAATGGTATTAAGGTGGGAGACGTTTCTATCAAGTTTGAGTTTTTCCCGATCAAGGCAACAAACAAGCAAATGTTTATGAGGAACAGGATTTTTCTGCAGTATTTCCACTCTAAGATACTAAGGGGCATCTCCTTCAGTATCTTCGGCACCCTCAGGTATTTCTTTATAGAAACTGACCGGAATAGAGAAGAGCTGAATTTGAGACTAGATATTTCCAGTAAAACAGTATAGGTGAATGTAGTCAAAGCTACACACACCTAGAAATATATTCCAGCACATGATTTAGTTTGTAAGCCAGTTCTGTATGCCTAGTAAAGAAAACCTGGGACATGCAACAGACAGGGTTGCTGCAGAGGGCAATCCCAGCATGCCTTGTGTATTGGCCTTCCTGACTTGTGTTCACACTACAAGGGGCTTGGAGTGAAGCAGCAAAGCCAATAGACAAGGAGGAGGAAAGCAGAGAGGGTGGGAGGCGGTGAACAGAAGATGAATGTTATTTCAGAACAAAGGAGAGGAAACAAGGAAAGGAGGAATTGTTGCTTCAGAGCATCACCCCACCTTGAAGCTGCAACGGTGTGCGAGAGGAGAGGGAAAGTGGGTTGACTGGCCCAGAGAAAAGCTGAGGCACACAGGAGTCAGCATAAAGATGGCAGATTCACAGGGAGTTGAATGCATTTTTACTTACTATACACATCTCTTAAGTTTATTGTAATTTACACCTGTAAATGAAAAGGGAGTTTAAACTTTAAAAGCACATCTAAAAGTAAGAGCAGCCACAGGAGGGGAAGACAGAGTATTGTTCTACTGTTTACTGCAGCTGGGGACAGAACAGTTATATTAATACAAAGACGCCAATATTAAATATTACATATCACATTGTGTAAATTATGTATGAAATCTTTGCTTCAAGTTATCTACTGCATTTTCAATACAATATAAATACAATACCTTATTTCCATTATTTGATTGTATTTGAATGTTTGACTTTCCTCTTAAAATGTCCCTGAGATCAGTTCTAAATGGAGAGTTCTCCCAAAACACAAAAATTATATTTTGTGCATTGCCTTCCAATTTCTAGTGCCAGTGCTAAAGATGATCTTTATCTTTTTTGGAAACCCAAACTGTAGTCAGATGCCCTTCCACCTCACTTTATACACAGAAGATCTCCGCTAAACGAAAAATATAGCTGTTTATCTGTTTTTCTGTGACCGCTGATAACTTTGGAACGAAGTTGACTACAAATACACAGTTGCCATTGCCTTCGCAATTGAACAAGCAAATGATAAAAAGGATGCTTCAAATTAAAACCGAGATGACTGCATTAAAAAATAAATACAGTAGGCCTGTAGGCTACATGGGCCTATATACAGTATTTAAATCATATTGAAATACATTTTATATTCAGTCAATTGAGTTCAATTTTGTAGGCTACACTGTCTGTAATTTTGCCTCAAAATATTTGTGTAACAACATGTGCGCAATGATGTGCCAAATGAATCTGTGATTTAGTGAATTATTATAGGTAAGCATTAGAATAATGTGACAATATCTTTTGGAAAACACATGTTACATCTTCAGCCGTTGTAGGAACAATGCATAATTAAAATACTCATAAGCCTAAGTCCCATCGCTATCGGGAAACTGGGCCCTGATGTTTAAGAGGCCATGTCGTTTGTGTGCAACCGTTGACCTGCAGGGGGCAATGTGGTAAAGCACCAGAGGGCATGATGTCTGTAGTATCTCACAACTGCTGTCTGATTGTGTCTTTTCCCTAAGTACTGTAGGTCACTGTGCAACAACAACGTGTGATAATCCCTATAGATATCAATGCTATTGTGGTAACAATGCTAGAAGGGAGACAAAAATGTCGACAGAACATAAATAGTACAGTACAGTACTGTGTGTGAAAGAATACTCTATGGGTATAGGACACGGTGTGATGATGCATTGTGTGTGTGTGTGTGTGTGTGTGTGTGGAGGGGTGTGTGTGTGTCAGTGTGTATTTGAAGTGGTCATCTACCTTCTACTTTGGCATATTCTGAGAGGCGCTGGTAGTTGATCAAGGCTGCCTGCTCCAGACATTTACGGATTACTGTCTTCACCTCCTCCTGGGGCACAGGGGTCACTATATCCTTCATCAGCACCTGGGACAGAACAGGAGACGTTGTAGAAAAAATGCATTTTTAGGGCTGTACCACCAGGGCCGGCTCCAGGCATAAGCGATCCCCAGTGGTGGAAAAAGTACTCAATTGTCATACTTGAGTAGAAGTAAAGATACCTTAACAGAAAATGACTCAATTAAAAGTGAAAGTTACCCAGTAAAATACTACTTGAGTGGTTTTAAATGTACTTAAGTACAGTGGTAGAAAAAGTACTCAATTGTCATACTTGAGTAAAAGTACAAAGTAAAACTAAATGCTATACATCAAATTCCTTATATTAAGCAAACCAGACGGCACAATTTTCTTATTATTTGTAATTACGAACAGACAGGGGCACACTCCAACATTCAGACATCATTTACAAACACAGTATTTGTGTTTTGTGAGTCTGCCAGATCAGAGGCAGTAAGAATGACAAAGCGTTATATTGATAGGTGCCATAATTCTGTCCTGCTTGAGCATTCCAAATGTAATGAGTACTTGTTGGTGTCAGGGAAAATGTATGGAGTAAAAAGTACATATTTTATTTAGGAATGTAGTGGAGTAAAAGTAAAAGTTGTCAAAAATATAAATAGTAAAGTAAACTACAGATACCAAAAAAAAACTACTCAAGTACTTTACACCACTGGCAAACGTTTGGGCCCCAGGCCGCTAGGGGGCCCCTGACCAATTATTCTTTTGACTTTGTTAGCCACTCTCACTCAGATATCATTAACATGGCATAAGTCATGCAAAATGAATAGAATTGCATGAAATGTGTTATACAATTGCAACATTTTCTCTCCGCCCCATGGCAAAATGTGTAGAACTGCAGAAAACTTGCTGTAAAAGTGCAACATAATATTTTTTGAACTCAGTCAGGGTCTCAACTTACTGTTCAGTTAGGATAGTAGAATAAACAAGGTGCATGTTCGAAATTCGGTTGTGCATCCGCAGTTTTCCTCTTGTTATGTCAGTCACTGACAGTCACTCAGTTAGCCATGTCAGCTAACAATTTTTAGATTGGTAAGTTACTCTAGCCAGCCAGCTATCTAAACTGTACACATTGATTTTGTTAGTCACTCTCACTAAGATATCATTAATATGGCATAATAATTGCAGGAAATTTGCTTTAAAGTTGAAAACAATTCTCTCCACTCCATGGCAAAATGGGTATAATTGCAGGAAATTAGCTGTAAAACTGCAGTATTTATTTTCTGCCCCATTGCAAAATGAGTAGAATTGCATGAAATGTGTTATAAAACTACAACATTTTCTCTCCACCTCATGGCAAAATGTGTAGAACAGCAGAAAACTACATTTTACCTTTTACGTCCCTATATACAAATAGCAAAAAAGTACAAATGATTGAGTGACAAAATAAATCTGTATCTCCGCTGCTCTGTGTCAGCACAATGGACAGGGTGCGCCGTAGGGGGTCTATGGAAAGCCACCTGGCGGTTAGGTATAACTCCTTTGGGTAAAAAAAAAAACTGGAAGAAAACGCTACTTACAGTTGAAGGCGGAAGTTTACATACACCTTAGCCAAATACATTTAAACTCAGTTTTTCACAATTCCTGACATTTAATCCTAGTAAAAATTCCCTATTATAGGTCAGTTAGGATCCCCACTTTATTTTAAGAATGTGAAATGTCAGAATAATAGTAGAGAGAATTATTTATTTCAGCTTTTATTTCTTTCATCACATTCCCAGTGGGTCAGAAGTTTACATACACTCAATTAGTATTTGGTAGCATTGCCTTTAAATTGTTTAACTTGGGTCAAACGTTTCAGGTAGCCTTCCACAAGCTTCCCACAATAGGTTGGGTGAATTTTGGCCCATTCCTCCTGACAGCTGGTGTAACTGAGTCAGGTTTGTAGGCCTCCTTGCTCGCACATGCTTTTTCAGTTCTGCCCACAAATGTTCTATAGGATTGAGGTCAGAGCTTTGTGATGGCCACTCCAATACCTTGACTTTGTTGTCCTTAAGCCAGTTTGCCACAACTTTGGAAGTATGCTTGGGGTCATTGTCCATTTGGAAGACCCATTTGCGACCAAGCTTTAACTTCCTGACTGATGTCTTGTGATGTTGCTTCAATATATCCACATAATGTTCCTTCCTCATGATGCCATCTATTTTGGGAAGTGCACCAGTTCCTCCTGCAGCAAAGCACCCCCACAGCATGATGCTGCCACCCCCGTGCTTCACGGTTGGGATGGTGTTCTTCGGCTTGTAAGTTTCCCCCTTTTTCCTCCAAACATAACGATGGTCATTATGGCCAAACAGTTCTATTTTTGTTTCATCAGACCAGAGGACATTTCTCCAAAAAGTACGATCTTTGTCCCCATGTGCAGTTGCAAACCGTAGTCTGGTTTTTTTATGGCGGTTTTGGAGCAGTGGCTTCTTCCTTGCTGAGCGGCCTTTCAGGTTATGTCGATATAGGACTCGTTTTACTGTGGATATAAATACTTTTGTACCTGTTTCCTCCAGCATCTTCACAAGGTCCTTTGCTGTTGTTCTGGGATTGATGTGCACTTTTCGCACCAAAGTACGTTCATCTCTAGGAGACAGAACGCATCTCCTTCCTGAGCGGTATGACCGATGCGTGGTCCCATGGTGTTTATACTTGCGTACTATTGCTTGTACAGATGAATGTGGTACCTTCAGGCATTTGGAAATTGCTCCCAAGGATGAACCAGACTTGTGGAGGTCTACAATTTTCTTTCTGAGGTCTTGGCTGATTTCTTTTGATTTTCCCATGATATCAAGCAAAGAGGCACTGAATTTGAAAGTAGGCCTTGAAATACATCCACAGGTACACCTCCAATTGACTCAAATGATGTCAATTAGCCTATCTGAAGCTTCTAAAGCCATTACATAATTTTCTGGAATTTTCCAAGCTGTTTAAAGACACAGTCAACTAAGTGTATGTAAAATTCTGACCCATTGGAATTGTGATACAGTGAATTATAAGTGAAATAATCTATCTGTAAACAATTGTTGGAAAAATGTATTGTGTCATGCACAAAGTAGATGTCCTAACTGACTTGCCAAAACTATAGTTTGTTAACAAGAAATTTGTGGAGTGGTTGAAAAATGAGTTTTAATGACTCCAACCTACGTGTACAGTCGTGGTCAAAAGTTTTGAGAATGACACAAGTATTGGTCTTCACAAAGTTTGCTGCTTCAGTTTTTTAGATATTTTTGTCAGATGTTACTATGGTATACTGAAGTATAATTACAAGCATTCCATAAGTGTCAAATGCTTTTATTGACAATTACATTAAGCTTATGCAAAGAGTCAATATTTTCAGTGTTGACACTTCTTTTTCAAGACCTCTGCAATCCGCCCTGGCATGCTGTCAATTAACTTCTGGGCCACATCCTGACTGATGGCAGCCCATTCTTGCATAATTAATGCTTGGAGTTTGTCAGAATTTGTGGGTTTTTGTTTGTCCACCCGCCTCTTGAGGATTGACCACAAGTTCTCAATGGGATTAAGGTCTGGGGAGTTTCCTGGCCATGGACTCAAAATGTCGATGTTTTGTTCCCCGAGCCACTTAGTTATCACTTTTGCCTTATGGCAAGGTGCTCCATCATGCTGGAAAAGGCATTGTTCGTCACCAAACGGTTATTGGATGGTTGGGAGAAGTTGCTCTCGGAGGATGTGTTGGTACCATTCTATATTCATGGCTGTGTTCTTAGGCAACATTGTGAGTGAGCCCACTCCCTTGGCTGAGAAGCAACCCCACACATGAATGGTCTCAGGATGCTTTACTGTTGGCATGACACAGGACTGATGGTAGCGCTCACCTTGTCTTCTCCCGACAAGCGTTTTTCCGGATGCCCCAAACAATCGGAAAGGGGATTCATCAGAGAAAATAACTTTACCCCAGTCCTCAGCATTCCAATCCCTGTACCTTTTGCAGAATATCAGTCTGTCCCTGATGTTTTTCCTGGAGACCAGGCCATCCTCCAAAGGTCTTCGCCTCACTGTGCGTGCAGATGCACTCACACCTGCCTGCTGCCATTCCTGAGCAAGCTCTGCACTGGTGGTGCCCCGATCTCGCAGCTGAATCAACTTTAGGAGACGGTCCTGGCGCTTGCTGGACTTTCTTGGGCGCCCTGAAGCCTTCTTCACAACAATTGAACCTCTCTCCTTGAAGTTCTTGATGATCCGATAAATGGTTGATTTAGGTGCAATCTTACTAGCAGCAATATCCTTGCCTATGAAGCCCTTTTTGTGCAAAGCAATGATGACGGCACATGTTTCCTTGCAGGTAACCATGGTTAACAGAGGAAGAACAATGATTTCAAGCACCACCCTCCTTTTAAAGCTTCCAGTCTGTTATTCTAACTCAATCAGCATGACAGAGTGATCTCCAGCCTTGTCCTCGTCAACACTCTCACCTGTGTTAATGAGAGAATCACTGACATGATGTCAGCTGGACCTTTTGTGGCAGGCTGAAATGCAGTATAAATGTTTTTTGGGGGATTTAGTTCATTTTCATGGCAAAGAGGGACTTTGCAATTAATTGCAATTAATCTGATCACTCTTCATAACATTCTAGAGTATATGCAAATTGCCATCATAAAAACTGAGGCAGCAGACTTTGTGAAAATTAATATTTGTGTCATTCTCAAAACTTTTGACCACGACTGTATGTAAACTTCCGACTTCAACTGTACATGTGAGAACTCATTTTCCACTTTGACAAACATGTTCAGTTAGCACATAAGAAGCATGCTACACCTGAGGAAAGCCCAACTAATCCAACTGGCATTTGATGGGGATATTACGAGAAGATTTCAGGGAGAATGGAATTATCAATTATTCAGGAAGTTCCACAGAGCATCAAGGAAGCTGCAAATCTTTTGAAAAGGTAAGACTGAAACAATGTAGCTGGTTGGTTTTGATCACAATCTTGCTTTAGTGTGTAGGGCGGTGTTCATGGTGCTGATAGAGCGCAGCGATATTTTGTGCAATTGAACCCTTCACTTCTTGGTTAAAAGCGTTTTTGGAACTTTTATTTTTATTGTGGTATAGCGTGATATAAGCACAATTCAATATAATTCCAATGCAAGAACCCAAATGACACCCCTGGGTATAGCTACATATCGGTATGTGTCATCATTTTATTATGATTTTCTTGGTAGCCTGTTGGTTTTCATTGCTGTAAATGCAACTGTACGTATTGGAAATGTGTTTATGGTAGGCTGGCATTGCTTAATTGATTACGTGGGTCGAATTTGATCCGTGTATTGTGCCATATCACAACGTGTTGCTGAACTCATGAACGAGTGGCATGATTTTCCATGTTTGAAGCTGGCCTGTATAGGCTTATTTATTTGGCAAGACAGCGGTGCACGGCTGCATCTCACTGTAGTAGGCTGTACCTATGTTTTGGTTATTTAGATCTCCATTCGCCTTTTGTTTACTGCATTTGTTTACTGTTGATGTAACTAACCTAAATATAAATTGTGTCATGCCTTTATCGATCTGATATTTTGTTTACTAGGCCTACTACATTTACATTTACATTTTAGTCATTTAGCAGACGCTCTTATCCAGAGCGACTTACAGTTAGTGAATACATATTTTTTTATACTGGCCCCCCGTGGGAAACGAACCCACAACCCTGGCGTTGCAAACACCATGCTCTATCAACTGAGCTACATCCCTGCCGGCCATTCCCTCCCCTACCCTGGACGAATTGTGCGCCGCCCATGAGTCTCCAGGTCGCGGCCGGCTGCGACAGAGCCTGGATTCGAACCAGGATCTCTAGTGGCACAGTTAGCACTGCGATGCAGTGCCTTAGACCACTGCGCCACTCAGGAGTACTACTTGCGCCACTCAGGAGTACTACTTGGTACCATTGTTTTGTTCTGTACGCATTTGTTCGCATTCACAGTTTTATCGGTATTCTAAGCCAAACTGCTATTCAGTATTTTTGTTTGCATGTATGCATAACTAGGCTACTACTTTCAGCATTTAGTTTGCATTATTTTGGTAAGACAGCTGTGTGTCCAGCTGCATTCACATAGCCTGTTTGTAATAGGTGAATTGTCCTATCTATCTTGTAGCCTATATTCATTACCAAAACGGCCTAGTTGTAGGGCGCTGTCCATTGTGCTGCAGAGAGGCTACAGATGTCAAAAGTACTCAATGAGTCTCGGCATTTTAACTTTATGTTTATTGTGGTATAGCGTGATTATATCAACAGAATTCAATAGAATTCCAATGCAAAAACTACCCAACAATTTGACCCCTCGCCAATTTCAACTGTCCCCTTAGTCACTTTATCCTGGCGCCAGGTCTGGGGGGGGGGCCCTCAACCAAATCTAGACCTGTGTACAACAAACGGGAAAAGCATGGGAGTGCGCGTGTTGACCCTTCACTTCTAGAGAACAGGTGACAAACATCTGTTTGACCAAATAGCCTATATTATATAAAACATAATATAGTAATCAAATAGACAACATTTAAAATATTATTCCGTTTTTTTTTTGTCCCATAGCCTAAAGGAAGGTGTGTGTCCATGGTTAATAGAACATAAGGTAAGGCTAAAAAAGGATGCATAATAACATACCCTCTCAAGCAGGGACAAAGTGGCTTTCAGGGCCCCCTCCGGTCGACCAAATGGAAAACAGTACCTGTGAAAGAAATCCAGTTTCATTAATGTAGGGTTTCTATGAAGGTACAGCGCATTCAGAAAGTATTCAGACCCCTTCACTTTTTCCACATTTTGTTACTTTACAGCCTTATTCTAAAATTGATTAAATTGTTTTTTACCCTCATCAATCTACACACAATACCCCATAATGACAGAGCAAAAACAGGTTTTTTAACATTTGTGCAAATTGTAAAAAACTTTACTCAGTACTTTGTTGAAGCACCTTTGCAGCGATTACAGCCTCGAGCCTTCTTGGGTATGACGCTACAAGCTTAGCACACCTGTATTTGGGGAGTTTCTCCCTTTTTTCTCTGCAGATCCTCTCAAGCTCTGTCAAGTTGGATGGGAAGCGTTGCTGCACAGCTATTTTCAGATCTCTCCGGAGATGTTCGATCGGGTTGAAGTCTGGGTTCTGGCTGGGCCACTCAAGGACATTCAGAGACTTGTCCCGAAGCCACTCCTGCATTTTCTTGGCTGTGTGCTTAGGATCGTTGTCCTGTTGGAAGGTGAACCTTCGCCCCAGTCTGAGGTCCTGAGCGCTCTGGAGCAGGTTTTCATCAAGGATCTCTCTGCTTTGCTCCATTCATCTTTCCCTTGATGCTGACTAGTCTCCCAGTCCCTACCGCTGAAAAACATCCCCACAGCATGATGCTGCCACCACCATGCTTCACCGTAGGCTTGGTATTGGCCAGGTGATGAGCGGTGCCTGGTTTCCTCCAAATGTGACGCTTGGCATTCAGGCCAAAGAGTTCAATCTTGGTTGCCTTTTGGTAAACTCCAAGTGGGCTGTCATGTGCTTTTTACTGAGGAGTGGCTTCCATCTGGCCACTCTACCATAAATGCCTGATTGGTAGAGTGCTGCAGAGATGGTTGTCCTTCTGGAAGGTTCTCCCATCTCAACAGATGAACTCTGGCGCTCTGGCAGAGTGACCATCAGGTTCTTGTTCACCTCCCTGACCAAGGCCTTTCTCCCCCGATTGCTCAGTTATGCCGGGCAGCCAGCTCTAGGAAGAGTCTTGGTGGTTCCAAACGTCTTCCATTTAAGAATGATGGAGGCCACTGTGTTCTTGGGGACCTTCAATGCTGCTGAAATTGTTTGGTACGGACAATTCCTTCGACCTCAAGGCTTGGTTTCTGCTCTGACCTGCACTGTCAACTGTGGGACCTTATATAGACAGGTGTGTGCCTTTGCAAATCATGTCCAACCAATTGAATTTACCACAGGTGGACTCCAATCAAGTTGTAGAAACATCTCAAGGATGATCAATGGAAACAGGATGCACCTCAATTTCGAGTCTTATAGAAAAGGGTCTGAATACTTAATAAATAAGCTATTTCTGTTGTTATTATTTTTATATATTTGCAAAAAAACTGTTATCACTTCGTCATTCTAGGGTATTGTGTTTAGATTGATGAGGAAATGTTTTTATTTAATACATTTTAGAATAAGGCTGTAAAAAGTGAAGGGGTCTGAACACTTTCCGAATATACTGTATTCCTTCATCATAAGACCATTCTTTATCCTCAGGGAGTTCTAGAGTTTATAAATGACTAGCTGGTTCTTGAGATCAGAATGTAAGTAACACTTAGCAGGGCACAGTGATTGGCATCTGTCATTACCTATAATCTGTGGTCTGATGAGTCCCATAGGCGTGTCTGTGCCAGGGTCAGTTACAGACTTGGCAGTAAGTACAGTACACACCTGAAGTGTGTGATCTGGTTCTCCAGCAGAACACGCAGCCTTTCCTTGATATTCTCAAAGCGCTCCTTCTCCTCCACAGTCACCGTCCCTATCCCGTCAGGCCTGAGGGGCATACAGTACCATATAGTTTATATGGTTGGAGCATGGGGCAGGAAACACCAAGGTTGTGGCTTTCATTCCCACATGGGCCACATAAAGTACAGTGTATAAACAGTATGTATTAATTGGAAGATCCCTTTGGACAATTGTTTTTGCTAAATGTTATATTAGTATCATCATAATGTCCCAAATCAGAGTAGACAGTATGGCCACCACTGACACAGTAATCACAGGGGTCACACAAGGGTCAAACGCTCACTGGAGGTCTAATTGAGAATTTCAGCTAACATAATACACGTGCAGTATCTAGTTATATGTCCACAGCAGAGCCTACAGTTCAAATCCAGCGTATGTGTGGTGTATTCTACAGGTAAGAGCCAGCCAGCTATCTGAGAGGATGGTTACATTTACATTTACATTTACATCATTTAGCAGACGCTCTTATCCAGAGTGACTTACAAATTGGGTTACAGAGAGGAGGGGGGGGGGGGGGGGGGGGGGGGGGTAATTACTGCTTCCCCCCTGCCCCCCACACACCCCCATGCCAAGCTGTGGCCCCCATCGTGTCTGACAGAAGGAGTATCCCCCCCCCCCCCCTCCTTTCTCACTCTCCTTCAATAAGATGACATCCTGGGCCCGGTGACAACAAGCATGTCACGTCTCCTGCTCCTCAAGCCGCTGTCACGGCGACCAGTGCCTCCTCTGTCACATGCACTCACGTTCCCCTGTGCTCACGTTCCCCCATCCTCAGCCGTGTCACTAACTATAAGGAGATAGGCCCCTCACCCATGCTCCCTCTGTGTGTGTGTGTGTGTGTGTGTGTGTGTGTGTGTGTGTGTGTGTGTGTGTTTCAGGCTATGTTTGTCAGTGTTTGTGTTTTTGTGTGTGTGTGTTCATCTGAGACATGTCATAAGCAATAAAAAGCCAAAGCCTTTAATAACATGGTATGTGATGTGTGTGTGTGTGTAATCTCTGCCTCTGACAGTTCGTCAAGAAAAAACGAATTAGATAATTTCACACTAATTATGCCTAGCCTTATTTTCTGTTCCTACACAGCTTTCATAACATTTTCATAACCTCTATTGTCATGACTACATGGAAATCAGACGTCATTTGTCATAGAGCGATCAGAGAAACTAATAACATCAGAGGAAAACCCCATCAGAGGTTTCCACAATACATGACTGGAGCTGAATTACAGCCAAATCACAAATTGACTCGTACATCCAATTTAAAAAGATAAAGGCCATATTTAACTGGTATTTTTAACATTCAAACACCACATTTCCAAAGCGTTACCTAAACTAACTGGAGGTGGAATTAAATCAACTCCAACCCTTAAACAGACTATTTACTCTCAATTTACTCCTAGGCTACTGTACTCCCTATAATATTCAGTTCATGCCCTGTAGCTATAAGGCTATTAGGTTGTGGGTGGGTGAGGGGTGTAAGGGGGGTCAGGGTGGTCTTGGCCAGAGAGGGGTTTCTCTCGCGGGCAGCACGGGGCTGTCATGGTCATGGGGACTGGAGGCGGGCTGGTCTCGGACAGTGGCAGGAGACACTCGCCCGTCACCCATGATGACCTGTCATCCTGTCATCCCTGACCTTCAGGCAGACTGGCCGGCTGGAGAGCTCCCACTACAGTACAGTACAGTTTCTCTCTCTCTCTCTCTCTCTCTCTCTCTCTCGCTCTGCTCTCTCTCTCTCTATCTCTCTCTCTTCTCTCTCTCTCTCTCTCTCTCTCTATCTCTCTCTCTCTCTCTATCTCTCTCTCTCTCTCTCTCTCTCTCTCTCTCTCTCCACCCCCCCCCCCCACTCCCATCCTCCTGTCTTGGAGCTACACCCATCTCTCTGTCCAGCCTGATCATAGGACTCAAACAGACAGCCCACCTCAGCTTGATCACTGTCTGTCACAGGATGGGGGAGGGAGGGGTTGGGTAGGAGGAGTGTCAGATTGGGGCAGACTGACAGACAGCTGCCCATGACCTTCGCCCCTCACTGTAGTGACACTAGCTTGTTTATGTTGACTAGAGATCGAGCCATGATTACGACATACAAAAGTCTGGGCAGATGTACATAAACACACACGCACATACAGTACCAGTCCAAAGTTTGGACACACCTACTTTTTTTTACAAATAAAGAAAAACCCTTGAATGAGTAGGTGTGTCCAGACTTTTGACTGGTAGTGTACATACAAACGTACATACGTATGCAAGTACACATGCAAACACAGACATTTTATTATTTAAAAAACAAAACACTTGCAATACTCATTAATTATTTCAATATTTCAACTACAGTATTTAATCTTGTTACAACACTCATGTCACTAAGGTCGGGTGGGAGTCACAGTGGATCTATCAGGGAGGAATGCACGTTCACATGTGCATCAGAACTTCCTATTTCCTAGTTGTGATGTCGGAAAAACGACTTTGTTTCATTCAAAACTGGATTTGTTATCATCTTTTGGTTGAACAGGTCAAAGTCAGTGCTGAAAAGTCATCGGCAACTCGGGCAACAACATTTACTCAGAGTTTCCCACTTGAAATTTCGACTTGGCGGGTCATTCAAGTAAAACTTCCCAGTTGGAACTAGGAATTTCCGATAACTCCAATAGCACGTGAACGCGGGAGAAGCAGCACAGACTCTTACCTTCTGGGCCAAGAGGCAGCCTGGGACTTGGAGTCCTTTTTTTTCCTAAACTCCATGATTTTGAGTTCCCTCTTGGGGGGGGTGGGGGTCTCTGGGGTGGGGGGGGTAAAGGTAGCTCTGAAGCTCTGCCTCGGTTACAGGCCAGTTTAGCAACTCAGACAGTCTCTGACTACAGGTTACATGAGGGAGAGGCAGGGGTGATGTTATGAGAGCAAGCAAGGGAAAAAAAAGAGAAGAAGAGAAAAGTAATAATGGCAAACAAAAATAATAACAGACAATGACAAACAATTCATTGACAACAGAAGAACAGACAACTAAGAAAGAAGAAAAATGTAATAATATACACAAATCCCAACTGAACATGAGAAACTTAAAATCATAAGTGACTGAAAAAATTATATTAGAGAAAGTAAGCTTTGACTGAGGCAACAAAACAACAAGCATGGGATTGGGTGGCTTGGTGATGTATACTGGTCCAGATGATTGCATCCAAAACTGGGATACAGGGTGTTGGGTGGAATACACACTGGGTTACAGTCTTCTCTGAATGAGATTGATTTTTTATAGAAGGTTGGTTGTAGAGTGGCTTCTCTGAGCGGGGATTCTTGGTTTGCTTTCATATGCATAACATGAATTCCTGTTAGCATTTCTGAGAGAGAGAGAGAGAGAGAGAGAGAGAGAGAGAGAGAGAGAGAGAGAGAGAGAGAGAGAGAGAGCGAGAGAGCGAGAGAGAGAGAGAGAGAGAGAGAGAGGAGATAGCGTAGAAGGAGAGCTGTACGTCAGTTCTCTGTACCTGTTGCCGTGGACGTGTGATGCACAGAAGGCAAAACTGTAGTGTAGCAGGGTGGGGTCGATCATAGCCCCGTTCTCCGCCCGCTCCAGCAGGTCGCCCAGGTAACACAGGTGTCTGTGACACCCCCGCACACCATTACGAGCACAGTACTCATCCATGACAAACACCTGGCCTGGACTGAACCAGCCCTGCAACATTGACAAAAGAGGGGGGTGTTCAATGATAGAATAACTTATACAGTGAGGGAAAAAAGTATTTGATCCCCTGCTGATTTTGTACGTTTGCCCACTGACAAAGAAATGATCAGTCTATAATTTTAATGGTAGGTTTATTTGAACAGTGAGAGACAGAAAAACAACAAAATAATCCAGAAAAACGCATGTCAAAAATGTTATAAATTGATTTGCATTTTAATGAGGGAAATAAGTATTTGACAAACGTACAAAATCAGCAGGGGATCAAATACTTTTTTCCCTCACTGTATGGGATCACATCTCAAAGAAAAATAATGAGGGAACCTCTACACTGTTAACCCTTTTCCTCACCAAACAGGAGTAGGAGTCATTGAGCCTGTGGTCCAAGGTGAGGCGCTGCACCATCTCAAACAGGGAGGAGTGGTCGAAACTACAGGGGTTGGCTGAGATGAACTCATCCATGCCGTGTTTCTGTGCCCGGTCCGCATCTGTGTCCATCCACCCCAGAGAGAGAGAGACAGCCAGCACACATGGAGGGAGAAATCCAGAGAGGAGTTAGGTATATCAGAGGATGTGAATTGCTGAAGGAGTGAGAGGGCGAGAGAGCGTCACTCAAGCAGTGTGAGGGCCCTATTCTATCAAAACCGTTAAGCAGGTTTACGTGAGACACAAATACTGTATACATACAGTATATATATATGTTTTACTGTATACATCAATGGCTTATGGGTGAAACTATACAGACACTCACAGGCCAATAATAATGTTACATTTGTTCTTCGCTTGCACACCTGGTTAGCGGTTTAGATTGAATAGCGCTCTCGTACAGTACGCTTCTTCTGGGGGTGGGTTGTCTGGTAAATGGAGAGTTTCAGTATGGGGTTCATTGTCAACTTGCAGGTGGAAAGAGCTCTGGGCCAAAGGAGTGGTGAGTAGGAGTGGATGCGAGTTGCAGCATAACCAATGCAGATGGGTCATTCCTGTGGTCATGCATGACTAGTTCTATTCTGTCTCAGGGTTTTCTCTGCATAGAAAAGTGTTGGGCGGGCCGCCTAAAAGTTTTTCCGGCCGCCTATGTCCAAACAGCGAAAAAAATAAGAAAATGGGATGGAAAAACGTTTTCAGTGTAAACTTAAATGACTAAAACCAGATATACAGTATGTAGAAAAGATAATGGACCTATATATTTTTTAATAAGATCAAGTTTGAGAACTAACAATCACCAAAATAAAAGCTAGACAGTCAAGGAGAATCTAAATCAAAAATAAATGATGCAGGAGTATTTTTGTCATGGCATAGGGCCCGCATTGATTTTGCCATGGGAAAATGTGTAGAATTGCAGGACATTAGCTTTAAAACGGCAACATTTTGTCACTGCAGCCTCTATGATTTTCAGTCGGTAACCGAACCATTGGCCACACAATTGGCCACGCCCCCACCACACCCACCTACTAAACCCCATTTTGATCCAGAAAAAACCCTGCTGTCAATCTCATTATTACAACGTTGGTCCAGTTTCCCTTGATAAAGGCTAAAGTTAATGTCTGTGGGGTCTTTATCTCTACACAACAGTGTATGTTCTCCCCGCAAATCTCAGGTCCCCTCATATGTGATCCTTCAACCTGAGCATATATAAACTCTCTGAAAGCAGCCTTTCTAATTGTATCCTCACATGATTGAGTGCAACCTGTGAGGTGCGCTAGCTAGACCCATCTCCTTTCCCCTTCCTTCCTCCCCCTCCCCTCATCTGCTCAGCCCATGGGCACATGACCCCTGGGGTCTCCCTAATTAAACGCCCCCCTGTGCCAGTAAAATAGGGCCTGGGACAGAGGAACCCCCTGCCCATGCACCCCTTTGTTCAGAGAGGGGGCTAAATAAATTTGACAACACATTTTCACTTTCCTTCCCAGTGAGTGGGCTTAGGCATTACATCAGGGTCTGGTTAGAATTGGAAGGCTGCCTGTTAATCCTTGCTCCGGCCATCTACCGCTATTTTTATTCTAATGGCCCGTTTTAGCCAGGGCTTAGGGACTGCTCTGTAGGCCACATATCCGCAGGTCACAGCTATTCTAAGCAGCAGTCTGGATAAATAGCCTATGCAGCTGCCCCTCCCGAGACAAGGCTTTACATGTCAATAAAGAGACAACACCACTTATGGAGCATTAACAACAGTTTAAATATAGTGAAACAAATTAGTTTTCGCTGCAAAGTGGATACACACACAATCTTATTTTTACACTTAAAATGTGTTCAGACATAGTGATATAAAAAAATATATAAAATGTTTTGGGATGTTTTTCTGAAATTCTAAATCACACCAAAGTTGAATGTGACATACACATAAAATCATGAACAATAAATTACTTTGACTATAGAATATCATTTTTATAATATAAAACTCAGAAAATATAATAATACAGTATTACTTTTGTTTTCTCCATTGACCTCGACCTCATTGTTGAGTGAAACCCAATGTGGCGCCCTGCCAGCTGTCAATCACCAAGGGAACAAAGACTGTGCTGTTATGATGCTTATGATCCCCAACTCCCAAATCCAAAAGGTGACTTTGTGTCCCTCTCCTCTGTGACTGGTGGCCTGTCATGTCTATTTGACATTCCAGCGGTGGAGTGGACATGGGCGCTTTGGACAGTAACAGACAATGACACTAGTCACCCCCGTCTGTCTAGGCAGGGGAAGGACAGACATGACAATGATTGATGGATGCTACTCATTTATAGATCCCTGCACTCACTAGGAGAGTTGAGAGCAGAGCATTTGGGGCTATTTAGCGTATGACTTATTTTTTTAAAGGTTTGACCACCAACGGATATGTACATTGTAAAAGTGGTAGTAGTGTTAGGGCAAGTTTTAATCCAAGGTCCGTCTGTAAGGAGTGGAGAAGACTGAAGTAGCATATGATACAGGGAATTGCATGACATCATTAACTACTTGTTAGCATTCAGAATACTCCAGATACATATTTGCCAGCTCTTATTTAGCAGCAAGAAGAAATAAAGAGAGAAAGGCAGGAATTGAGCCCTCTTCAGTAAAGCATGGATATTCCACTGTAAATAACACCTGTCAATTGATTTGGACTTTTAAGCAATTTGGAACAAACATATCAAACTGTATAGTGTCTATAAAGTGTGTAGCCAAATTGCATTCGTCTGGAATATCTTTATATATATATATATATATATATATACACTACCAGTCAAGTTTGGACACACCTACTCATTCAAGGGTTTTTCTATATTTGTACTATTTTCTACATTGTAGAATAATAGTGAAGACATCAAAACTATAAAATAACACATATGGAATCATGTAGTAACCAAAAAAGTGTTAAACAAATCAAAATATATTTTATATTTGAGATTCTTCAAATGATGACAGCTTTGCACACTCTTGGCATTCTCTCAACCAGCTTCATAAGGTATCACCTGGAATACATTTCAATTAACAGGTGTGCCTTCGTAAAAGTTAATTTGTGGAATTTGTTTCCTTCTTAATGCGTTTGAGCAAATCAGTTGTGTTGTGACAAGGTAAGGGTGGTATACAGAAGATAGCCCTATTTGGTAAAAAACCAAGTCCATATTATGGCAAGAACAGCTCAAATAAGCAAAGATAAATGACAGTCCATCATTACTTTAAGACATGAAGGTCAGTCAATACAGAATATTTCAAAAACGTTGAAAGTTTCTTCAAGTGCAGTCGCAAAAACCATCAAGCGCTATGATGAAACTGGCTCTCATGAGAACCGCCACAGGAATGGAAGACCCAGAGTTACCTCTGCTGCAGAAGATAAAGTTACCAGCCTTAGAAATTGCAGCCCAAATAATAGCTTCACAGAGTTCAAGTAACAGACACATCTCAACATCAACTGTTCAGAGGGGACTGTGTGAGTCAGGCCTTCATGGTCAAAATGCTGCAAAGAAACCACTACTAAAGGACACCAATAAAAAGAAGAGACCTGCTTGGGCCAAGAAACACGAGCAATGGACATTAGACCGGTGGAAATGTGTCCTTTGGTCTGGAGTCCAAATTGGAGATTTTTGGTTTCAACCGCCGTGTCTTTGTGAGACGTGGTGTGGGTGAACGGATGATCTCCGCATGTGTAGTTCCCACCGTAAAGCATGGAGGAGGAGGTGTTATGGTGTGGGGGTGCTTTGCTGCTGACACTGTCTGCGATTTATTTAGAATTCAAGGCACACTTAACCAGCATGGCTACCACAGCATTCAGCAGCGATACGCCATCTCATCTGGTTTGGGCTTAGTGGGACAATCGTTTGTTTTTCAACAGGACAATGACCCAACACACCTCCAGGCTGTGTAAGGGCTATTTTACCAAGAAGGAGAGTGATGGAGTGCTGCATCAGATGACCTGGCCTCCACAATCCCCCGACCTCAACCCAATTGAGATGGTGTCACGCCCTGACTCTGGGGACTCTTATTTGTTGAGTCAGGGTGTGATTTTCTATGTTGTATTTTCTATGTTTGGATCTAGTATGTCTAGATCTATGTTGGCCGGTGTGGTTCCCAATCAGAGGCAGCTGTCGCTCGTTGTCTCTGATTGGGGACCATACTTAGGCAGCCTATTGGCACTAGTGGGTTGTGGGATCTTGTTCCGTTTAAGGTTTGTTGTGTGTTACCTTAGGACTTCACGTGTCGTTGGTTTATTGTTTTGTCGTTGTGTTTATTCGTTATAATAAACATGTATGCATATCACGCTGCGCCTTGGTCCGTCCCGTCCTTCAACGAACGTGACAGATGGTTTTGGATGAGTCGGACGGAAGAGTGAAGGAAAAGCAGCCAACAAGTGCTCAGCATATGTGGGAACTCCTTCAAGACTGTTGGAAAAGCATTCCAGGTGAAGCTGGTTGAGAGAATGCCAAGAGTGTGCAAAGCTGTCATCAAGGCAAAGGGTGGCTATTTGAAGAATCTCAAATATAAAATATATTTTGATTTGTTTAACACTTTTTTGGTTACTACATGATTCCAAATGTGCTATTTCATAGCTTTGATGTCTTCACTATTATTCTACAATGTAAAAAAATAGTAAAAATAAAGAAAACCCCTTGAATGAGTAGGTGAGTCCAAACTTTTGACTGGTAGTGTATATATAAAAAACACAGATTATTTAGCAAACCCAAAAAACATATAGTAAGTGGGTTTTTTTTTATCTTGTTTTTCTCCCAAGAGTTAGCATTTGCAGTGTTACATTATACAGTGAACATATGCAGGTGTGAACTAGCAAGTAGTTATTTGGTAACATTTCACTGATTGCTTCCCAAAATAATTGTGCATAGACCACACTGTTTAATTCATGACACGGCACTTTTAACAGGGTAAGTACCAGCTGCTGAGAGACACAGGGGCCTCCAGTAGTTGTCAAAAACAACCACTTCATTGAATTCATTTACGTCCTAAATTCTACTGCAATTATGTGAAACATCACTATCGATAAACCATTGTAGTTTATGTTGTGGGTTTTAGCCCTGTTTCTGCCTAAACCCTTTATCACTATATTGGTAATTAAAACTGTTGGAATATATGAGTTGATGATGGCAGTGATATTTACTATTATTGGTATTTGAAATATATGATTTGAAAATACAAGTTGGTGTTTGGAAATTGACCTTTCTAAGAGGGGCGTTAATGTTCAATTAAGTTGGAGAGAGAGAGAGAGAGAGAGAGAGAGGGCGAGAGCGAGAGAGCGAGAGAGCGAGAGAGAGAGAGAGGGGGGCAAATATGCAGATATGCAGATAGTATAACCAAAGCAAACCAAACAAAATCAGAGTTACATGCATCCTAGTCTGGTAAAGAAGTGAATCCTTAAAAGAATCAAACAGAATCAAAATAAACGTTTTCTAGAGCGGTCTAAGACATAGAGATAAGATAAAGAGACTGAAGAAAATAAGAGGAGGACGACAGGGAGGAGAGCACATTGCTTTGGTCAGATAACCAGTGTGCATTATCTGAGCTGTGCCAGCAACAGGGAAGCACTTACCCTTGAATCCAGCTACGAGATAGCGGGGTAAGAAGGAACAAACCAGAGAGACATAAAGACAGAGAGCAGACACAGAGATCTGACCTACAGCAGCTGGGCTAGGGACCAGGGACACACACAAAGCGAGAGAGAGAGAGAGACAGACAGAGACAGAGAAAGATACAGAGACAGAGAGAAAGAAAGTGGGGGAAATAGCTCATAACAAAACAAAAAAACACTGATATAATGGGACACAGGGGAAGAGAAACCGTAACCAAAAAAGAGGAAAAACGGAAGAGATGAATATAGATATACAGTTAGGGAAAAAGGTATTTGATCCCCTGCTGATTTTGTACATTTGCCCAACGACAAAGAAATGATCAGTCTATAATTTTAATGGTAGTTCTATTTGAACAGTGAGAGACAGAATAACAACAACAAAATCCAGAAAAACGCATGTCAAAAATCTGATAAATTGATTTGCATTTTAATGAGGGAAATAAGTATTTGACCCCCTCTCAATCAGAAAGATTTCTGGCTCCCAGGTGTCTTTTATACAGGTAACGAGCTGAGATCAGGAGCACACTATTAAAGGGAGTGCTCCTAATCTCAGTTTGTTTCCTGTATAAAAGACACCTGTCCACAGAAGCAATCAATCAATCAGATTCCAAACTATCCACCATGGCCAAGACCAAAGAGCTCGCCAAGGATGTCAGGGACAAGATTCTAGACCTACACAAGGCTGGAATGGGCTACAAGACCATCGCCAAGCAGCTTGGTGAGAAGGTGACAACAGTTGGTGCGATTATTCGCAAATGGAAGAAACACAAAAGAACTGTCAATCTCCCTCGGCCTGGGGCTCCATGCAAGATCTCACCTCGTGGAGTTGCAATGATCATGAGAACGGTGAGGAATCAGCCCAGAACTACACGGGAGGATCTTGTCAATGATCTCAAAGCAGCTGGGACCATAGTCACCAAGAAAATAATTGGTAACACACTACGCCGTGAAGGACTGAAATCCTGCAGCGCCCGCAAGGTCCCCCTGCTCAAGAAAGCACATATACATGCCCGTCTGAAGTTTGCCAATGAACATCTGAATGATTCAGAGAACTGGGTGAAAGTGTTGTGGTCAGATGAGACCAAAATCGAGCTCTTTGGCATCAACTCAACTCGCCGTGTTTGGAGGAGGAGGAATGCTGCCTATAACCCCAAGAACACCATCCCCACCGTCAAACATGGAGGTGGAAACATGATGCTTTGGGGGTGTTTTTCTGCTAAGGGGACAGGACAACTTCACCGCATCAAAGGGACGATGGACGGGGCCATGTACCGTCAAATCTTGAGTGAGAACCTCCTTCGCTCAGCCAGGGCATTAAAAATGGGTCGTGGATGGGTATTCCAGCATGACAATGACCCAAAACACACGGCCAAGGCAACAAAGGAGTGGCTCAAGAAGAAGCACATTAAGGTCCTGGAGTGGCCTAGCCAGTCTCCAGACCTTAATCCCATAGAATATATGTGGAGGGAGCTGAAGGTTTGAGTTGCCAAACGTCAGCCTCGAAACCTTAATGACTTGGAGAAGATCTGCAAAGAGGAGTGGGACAAAATCCCCCCTGAGATGTGTGCAAACCTGGTGGCCAACTACAAGAAACATCTGACCTCTGTGATTGCCAACAAGGGTTTTGCCACCATGTACTAAGTCATGTTTTGCAGAGGGGTCAAATACTTATTTCCCTCATTAAAATGCAAATCAATTTATAACATTTTTGACATGCGTTTTTCTGGATTTATTGTTTGTTATTCTGTCTCTCACTGTTCAAATAAACCTACCATTACAATTATAGACTGATCATGTCTTTGTCAGTGGGCAAATGTACAAAATCAGCAGGGGATCAAATACTTTTTTCCCTCACTGTATAGTGAAACTAATAGATATAGATAGAGAAGGGAGATCATGTGATAACAAATATTGAATAGGAGAGAGCGAGAGTGATAATGAAAACCACATTTAGTGACGATAGTAGAGAGAGTTAGGGAGTGTTCTCTTCTCCATATTAATGTAGACACTGCGCTGTGGTTGCTTCGGGTTACATAAAATACACTGTTACACACACATCCCTAGGTAAACAATCACCATCCAGGATAAGACCCACCCTTTGTATAATTTAAAATACACACTTGTGTCATGTGGAGAGAAAAAAATAGAACAAAACAGGTTACCTCGAAAAGGAGTCCAATGAAATCTCTATCTCGACAGATATAGAGTTAGATTAGACATAACAGCAGTGTATATTGGGGTGGCAGATTGCTGGGTACTGTAGTTCTTTGTGAAGCTGAAACAATGAGAGCTACCGTGAGTGTGGTGGGCCTCGTGGGCACAACAGGGGGTGACACTTACAGAACTGGGAGATGGGTGCGTCTAGCTGGGGTGCAGATCCGGCTTTGTTGTTGAGTTTCTGGACCTGGGTGGGGGGGATGGGCTTGTGAGACTGGCCCGTGGCCCGGTACATGGCCTGGACCCACAGGATGCGGTCCTGCTCATCATCACTGGCAAAGATCACAGTATCGCCCTCCTTCACTGCGTTGAAGAAGGTCCTCCCACCATCCAGACCTAAGGAATAAATCCCTGTTAGCAGTGTTTGTAGGGCTAGTGCTACTGGTAAATACCAGTGCCATATATTTAGGCCCTGGTAGTCATTTACATTTTAGTCATTTAGCAGACGGTTTTATCCAAAAGCGATTTACAGTAAGTGCATTCATCTTAAGATAGCTAGGTGAGACAACCACAGTAGCACAAGTACTATTCTAACAAGTAGTGAGTCGTGGTAGTTACTGTATTTCCAGAAAAGGTATCTGACTTCTATTTGCACAGGCTAAATTCCCAAGAGAACAAATGGTTGGTGGTTATTAATGTAGGTCACAAATACTTTATTTGCACTGTAAAGCCAGATTGTGATTATCTTACCTGCCTGAGGGTCGTGTGCATGTTTTGTGTGTAGAGCTGTCTAAGTTAACCAGTTAACGTTTTGTAATTTTAGTACACTATTTTTGAATGCGATCAAAATACACTAAAAACATCCAAAATACATAATCCAAAACAACAGTGATGACTTTGAGGTTAAAGAAAGTGTGCTTTGTCAAATTAAATGATTTTGCTAACCATTACAAAATCAATCAATCAATATGCTTGTAATGTTTGTTGTATACAAATCTTAAATTACAGCTCAATTTCATCAAATTCTGAATGAGCAATTAATTGTGATTAATCACAACAAATCCTTCGATTAACTCGATTGCATTTTTTAAATCATTTGACAGCCGCAGTTGTGTGTTACCTGGCTGAGGGTCGGTGTAGTCAACAGTGTAGCCGTCCAGTTGGAGCAGCTCCACAGGCTCTGCCTTCTTCTCTCTGTAGCTGCACATGGCAAAGGTGTACTGGCTCACCTGTACCACAAAGGGAGGGGAGAGAGGGCTACTATTAGTTACTGTACATTTTATTCATAGTACTATTCCAACTGCCATTTAACTAGTACTTCTTAAGATAATGCATAGTACAATGAGTACTGGGACTCCAAAAATGTAATAGGATTGGTAAACTACTTAGTAATTACTATGTAACTACCATTTTAGTATACCAGGTAAATAACAGACTGAAAGAGAGCATAATATCTTATCAGTTGTCCTTACCCCCATTGTACTTTAACCTTGATCTCACAGATAACACATTTTCTTTAACCCAGGCATTGGACCACTTGTTTGTGATAACCAACCGGGATTAATGGGTTAATGAGCCAATCACCAGGCATAACTGGTGACCAGATGCTGGTCAAGATAGGCATATGGGAAAGCAATCTCTCTGTGTTTGTGTGTGTGTGTGTGTGTGTGTGTGAGAGAGAAAGAGTATGGGAGGGGATAAGTGACAGCTGTGTTTCCCACTCTTGAACCTCTTGTCAGTAATGTGTGTGAGTGTGAGTGGGTATACAAGGATAATCACATTATAATTAGATGAATGAAGTGGCCAAACCAGGGGAAGAGTGGCTGGTTCAAGTTTGGTTCATGGCTGGTGGAGAGACGGTGACAATGTACAGTGCCTTCAGAAAGTATTCATACCCCTTGACTTATTCCACATTGTGTTGTGTTACAGCCTGAATGGATTCTTTAAAAATCTACATACAATACCCCATAATGACAAAGTGAAAACATGTTTTTAGAAATGTTTGCAAATGTATTGAAAATTGAATACAGAAACATCTAATTTACATAAGTATTCACACCCCGAGTCAATACATGTTAGATCCACCTTTGGCAGTGATTACAGATGTGAGTCGTTCTGGGTAAGTCTCTAAGAGTTTTGCACACCCGGATTATACAATATTTGCACATTTTATTAAAACAATTCTTCAAGCTCTGTCAAATTGGTTGTTGATCATTGCTAGACAACCATTTTCAGGTCTTGCCATTGATTTTCAAGTAGATTTCAGTCAAAACTGTAACTCGACCCCTCAGGAACATTCACTGTCTTCTTGGTAAGCAACTCCAGTGTCGATTTGGCCTTGTGTTTTAGGTTATTGTCCTGCTGAAAGGTGAATTCATCTCCCAATGTCTGTTGGAAAGCAGACTGAGCCAGGTTTTCCTCTAGGATGTTGCCTGTGCTTAGCTCCATTCCGTTTCTTTTTTATCCTGAAAAACACCCCAGTCCTTAACGATTACAAGCATACCCATAACATGATGCAGCCACCACTATGCTCTTGCCCCAAATATAACACTTTGTATTCAGGACAAAAAGTTAATTACTTTGCCACATTCTTTGCAGTATTACTTTAGTGCCTTGTTGCAAACAGGATACATGTTTTGGAATATTTGTTATTCTGTACAGGCTTCCTTCTTTTCACTCTGTCCATTAGGTTAGTATTGTGGAGTAGCTACAATGTTGTTGATCCATCCTCAGTTTTTCTCCTATCACAGCCATTCATCTCTGTAACTGTTTTAAAGTCACTATTGGCCTCATGGTGAAATCCATTAGTGGTTTCCTTCCTTTCCGGCAACTAAGTTAGGAAGGACGCCTGCATATTTGCAGTGACTGGGTGTATTGATACACCATCCAAAGTGTAGGTAATAACGTTACCATGCTTAAAAGGATATTCAATATCTGCTTTTTAGAAATGTTACCAATCTACCAATAAGGGCCCTTCTTTATAAGGCATTGTAAAACCTCCCTGGTATTTGTGGTTGAATCTGTGTTTGAAATTCACTGCTTGACTGAGAGACCTTACAGATAATTGTAAGTGTGGGGTACAGAGATTAGGTAGTCATTTAAAAATCATGTAAACACTATTATTGCACACAGAGTGAGTCCATGCAACTTATTATGTGACTTGTTAAGCAAAGTTTTACTCCTGAACTTATTTAGGCTTACCATAACAAAGGGGTTGAATACTTACTGACTCAAGACATTTCAGCTTTTAATTTTGTATTAATTTGTAAACATTTCAAAAAACATAATTCCACTTTGGCATTATGGGGTATTGCGTGTAGGCCAGTGACACAAAATCTAAATTTAATAAATGTCTAATTCAGCCTGTGACACAACAAAATGTAGAAAAAGTCAAGGGGTGTGAATACTTTCTGAAGGCACTGTATGTTTCCATGAACAGCAACATGGTGCGAGTGTGCATGTGTGTTTTAAAAGTAACTCATGTTGATGAGAGAGAGAAGAGAGTGAGTATTTATGTGCTTGTGAGTGTACAGTATGTATCTATCCAGCGCGGATACAGTGATATTCTGGATTATTACGTTATTCTGCTACAGACAGGGACAGAGAGAGAGGTGGAGGGAGGGGATCAGAGAGTAAGGGGGCGGGTGGTCAAGGTGCTGTTGCCAGGGCCGTTGCCAGGGCGGGGTTATGGCCCTGACTCTGTCACTCAGCGTGGACAGACGAGTGCGGGAGTGACACCCTGTCACAAGAGATGGGAGCCTGACTGCTAGGTGCCAGTCATGCCACGACAACCCGCGGATCCCGGCCAATCCTGCGCCATTGTCACCTCTGCTGCAAGTGGCAGCTCTCATTGGCTGCAGCCTGCCTCTGTGTGACAACAGATATTCACTGTCAGGGCTCTGATGAGGCCCCGGGTGGAGCTCGCTGGGCCGCTGGGACACTACCCAGCTTCACGGTGCCCCCTTGCCTTCGGGACATCACTGGGGCACATCAGAACTCCCCCTCTCCTTCCTACCCCCTCGCCTGCCTCTGTCTCTCCCCCCACTTCCCCCTCACGTCCCCCTGCCTGTTAATGTTTGGGCCTGTCAGGGCCAGGCGAGACAGACACAGAGACAGACAGAGAGACAGACACAGAGACAGACACAGAGACACAGAGCAGGAGGCAGAGAGAGACTCTATTGGCTCAGAGGTTGGCTGACCTGCTGTCAAACTGACCGTTAAAGGATTCTTAAAGACTTTGCTCCCTGATTACCCTACATGCTTTGTTCTTATAACCTTGTTATTGTTGAGAGTCTATAAATTGGATTGTGTGATGTGGTGGGGCGTGGGTGGGGGGCAGACCAGAGATATGATCAATGTGGTTGTTTGTCAGTATGTCACCTGAAGAAACTCTGGAACACCATAGCCCCCCCCACCCCCCAAACTCTATCCCCCAGTTGTCATAATCAACTGCTTAAAAACTTTACTCCAGGAGGCTAGTGCATAGCAGGCAGGAGAGAGAGAGAGAGAGAGAGAGGAGAGAGGGGACGAGAGGGAGGAGGGGGGGCTGAGAGAGAGAGAGTAGAGGAGAGGCGAGATGAGAAGAGAGCGAGGAAGCGAGAGAGATGAGAGAGATGCGATCGAGACGAGGAGAAGATGTGAGAGAGAGAGATCGACGAGATGAGAGAGAGAGAGTAGAGAGAGAAGGGAGAGAGGAGATAGAGAGAGCGATGAGAGATGAAGGAGAGAGAGACTGAGAGAGAGAGAGAGACGACGAGCGATGAGGAGATGGCGAGGAGGAGAAGAGAGAGGAGAGAGAGGAGATGAGAAAGAGGGGTAAGTGAACAGAGAGGGAAAAAGAAAAGAGAGAGTGAAGGAAGGAGGGAGGGAGAAAGACCCAGAGTGCGGAGGGGAGCTGAGTGAGAGAGTGGCTGCTGCCAGCTGTGTTGGAGGGCAGCCTCCAGACTGCTGAATAATTAGACTTCACTTTACATTATAAAAAACTGGTTTATGGCTCCAATCTGTTCTGTTGAGCAGGGACATGTCAGGGCATTCAACTAGCCAGCTACCACTACAGGCAGGATTAACTCTATCTGAACAGGGTGAGGGTAGGAGGGGGGTGGCGTGTTGCTGATGCTGTTTACGTGTTGCTGACGTGTTGTTGGCATGTAGCTGACGTGTTGTTGGCGTGTTGCTGCCATGTTTCATCGGTGATGCCAGCGTCCATCACCCAGCACTGTAAATTATCTACTCACTCCATGTAATTAACAACTCATGAATAATTCGACAGGAAACTAATATCTGAAATAAATACCCCCCAGTGTAAACTGTGCTATTTATGAGTATCACGGCAAATGTCAATCAAACGGCATTTAGTGCGTGTGTGGTGTGTGTGTGTGTGTGTGTACAAGACCTGGGTTCAATTACTAATTACTTTCACATACATTTCGAAGTAAGTATTCAGATATATTATTTTGTTGAAAAGACAAGTAGTTGAATATTGGAATGTATTTGGAAACACTTGGAAAGTATTGACATGTATTTGAAAATACTAAAATACACTGACTCAAATACACTCATTTATTTTTTGGGGGTGATCCAATTGACATTTTAGTCATTTAGCAGACGCTCTTATCCAGAGCGACTTACAATTAGTGCATTCCCATGCATTTAACCCATGTATTTGAAAATACTGTCAAATAGTATACTATTTATATTAAATTATTTGAAAATACTTTCAAATACTTCCAATAGAGGTAGTTGATTCGGGCCACTCAAACACACAGAAAATAATAATAAAATACACATCCAGTGTGCAGGTCTGGTGTGCATGCCACATTGGCATGCAGCTGATATGAACTTGCTGTTTGTGAAGTTATTTCAGAGGAGGGTTGAACATCACAGAGTGCTGATGGTGAATCTCATCCACAGTAATTAACACAGCTAACTCAGAAACTCAGAAACAAACCCAAACATTTTGTTTCTCACTTAAATTATTAATTTATATTTCATATATCTCCTGAACCAGTTGAAGTTGGCACACTGTTGTCTTTTCATAGGCTATTTCCATTTTTCATATAAGAAGAAAACAGTGAAAGTGTGAATCAACAGCTACCGTTGTGTACAACGTACTTAACTGCTGAATGTATAATTTTCAGGCAAAACAAAGAAACAAAAGGGGACATACTCTATTGATGGTAAAGCTAACTTAAATGTATTTGCCCTCACTTTTGTTTTGAGAATTTCCCCATAATCTCCAAAAGTACAAATACATTTGAGTCCATCATAACACCAATAGAGTATTGAATGTCTTGAATACTTACACGTGACTTAACATAACAAAAAACAGAAGCAAGAAGAAAGTTGACAAATCAAATTAAACACAAACAAAGCACATGCTTGATGTCTATCTCTCTATGAAACACACTCACACATGACGCACAACAGTCACACAAAAACACACACACTTCATCTCACTGTCATGAACAAGACAAGACAAGACACCCACCCACCCACCCACCCACCCACCCACCCACACACCCACCCACACACCCACCCACCCACAGTGGCAGTCTACTGACCGGTATTTGTCACATGCTGTATGTATTGCTGGGAGCAAGTGAGTGGAGCATTCTGTGGGTTCTTTTAGCTGCGAGTGCTAGGCCAGCCAGCGTACACTCTGGTTTGTCAATCGCCTGTCAACTCCTCGCTCTGAGACATATCCTCCCAAACACAGGGGAGACCGCATAATGCTCCAAATGAGGATGCACAAAAAATGGCTGCTACAGCTACAAAGCTCCTGACAAGAACTGTATTAGACCTTTATCATCCCAGTCAACTAGAGGAAGAAACGTACTATAGCTTGACAGTTAAAACACATAACATCTCACTTTTTGGGCTAGTGCTGGCCATGGTTATTTAGTTGTAAGTCTTTTGTTCTTACCTGCACCAAGACATAGAATCTCTTCTTCCATCTCTTCCACACATTTTTACCAATAGCCCATAGGTACCTAAGTAAACAAAAGCAATGGTTTAGTAACAGGTTGTGTGGACTATGGTGGATGTCCTTTCTACAGAGGCTGCTTTACAATATTCAACTTTGTGTTGCATCATTATGTCCTGGAGAAGTGGCATACTAAAAAAGCATATGCATTCTTTTATGTTACAATTAAGAAAAAAGGCCAGAGGGGATGTGGTATATGGCCAATATACCATGGCTACGGGCTGTTTTTAGGCATGACGCAACGCAGAGTATATGGCCAATATACAGTGGGGAGAACAAGTATTTGATCCAGAAAAAAAAATCCAGAAAATCACATTTTTATGATTTTTAAGTAATTAATTTGCATTTTATTGCATGACATAAGTATTTGATCACCTACCAACCAGTAAGAATTCCGGCTCTCACAGACCTGTTAGTTTTTATTTAAGAAGCCCTCCTGTTCTCCACTCATTACCTGTATTAACTGCACCTGTTTGAACTCGTTACCTTTATAAAAGACACCTGTCCACACACTCAATCAAACAGACTCCAACCTCTCCACAATGGCCAAGACCAGAGAGCTGTGTAAGGACATCAGGGATAAAATTGTAGACCTGCACGAGGCTGGGATGGGCTACAGGACAATAGGCAAGCAGCTTGGTGAGAAGGCAACAACTGTTGGCGCAATTATTAGAAAATGGAAGAAGTTCAAGATGACGGTCAATCACCCTCGGTCTGGGGCTCCATGCAAGATCTCACCTCGTGGGGCATCAATGATCATGAGGAAGGTGAGGGATCAGCCCAGAACTACACAGCAGGACCTGGTCAATGACCTGAAGAGAGCTGGGACCACAGTCTCAAAGAAAACCATTAGTAACACATTACGCCGTCATGGATTAAAATCCTGCAGCGCACACAAGGTCCCCCTGCTCAAGCCAGCGCATGTCCAGGACCGTCTGAAGTTTGCCAATGACCATCTGGATGATCCAGAGGAGGAATGGGAGAAGGTCATGTGGTCTGATGAGACAAAAATAGAGCTTTTTGGTCTAAACTCCACTCGCCGTGTTTGGAGGAAGAAGAAGGATGAGTACAACCCCAAGAACACCATCCCAACCGTGAAGCATGGAGGTGGAAACATCATTCTTTGGGGATGCTTTTCTGCAAAGGGGACAGGACGACTGCACCGTATTGAGGGGAGGATGGATGGGGCCATGTATCGCGAGATCTTGGCCAACAACCTCCTTCCCTCAGTAAGAGCATTGAAGATGGGTCGTGGCTGGGTCTTCCAGCATGACAACGACCCGAAACACACAGCCAGGGCAACTAAGGAGTGGCTCCGTAAGAAGCATCTCAAGGTCCAGGAGTGGCCTAGCCAGTCTCCAGACCTGAACACAATAGAAAATCTTTGGAGGGAGCTGAAAGTCCTTATTGCCCAGCGACAGCCCCGAAACCTGAAGGATCTGGAGAAGGTCTGTATGGAGGAGTGGGCCAAAATCCCTGCTGCAGTGTGTGCAAACCTGGTCAAGACCTACAGGAAACATATGATCTCTGTAATTGCAAACAAAGGTTTCTGTACCAAATATTAAGTTCTGCTTTTCTGATGTATCAAATACTTATGTCATGCAATAAAATGCAAATGCTTTACTTAAAAATCATACAATGTGATTTTCTGGATTTTTGTTTTAGATTCCGTCTCTCACAGTTGAAGTGTACATATGATAAAAATTACAGACCTCTACATGCTTTGTAAGTAGGAAAACCTGCAAAATCGGCAGTGTATCAAATACTTGTTCTCCCCACTGTACCACAAACACCTGAGTTGCCTTATTGCTATTATAAACTGGTTACCAACGTAATTAGAGCAGTAAAAATACATGTTTTGTCATACCCATGGTATACGGTCTGATATACCACGGCTTTCAGCCAATCAGCATTCAGTGCTCGAACCATCCAGTTTATAATGATAAATATACAAAACATTATGAACACATGCTCTTTCCATAACATAGACTGACCAGGTGAATCCAGGTGAAAGCTATGATCCCTTATTGATGTCACTTGTTAAATACACTTCAACCAGTATAGATGAAGGGGAGGAGACATGTTAAAGAAGGTTTTTAAACCTTAAGACAATTGAGACATGGATTGTGTATGTGTGCCATTCAGAGGGTGAATGGGCAAGACAAAAGATTGAAGTGCCTTTGAACGAGATATGGTAGTAGGTGCCAGGCACACTGGTTTGTGTCAAGAACTGCAACACTGCTGGGTTTTTCACGCTCAACAGTTTCCTGTGTGTATCAAGAATGGTCCACCACCCAAAGGACATCCTGCCAACTTGACACAACTGTGGGAAGCATTGGAGTCAACATGGGCCAGCATCACTGTGGAACACTTTCGAGTCCATGCCCCAACGAATTGAGGCTGTTCGGATGGCAAAAGGGAGGGGTGCAACTCAATATTAGGAAGGTGTTCTTAATGTTTTGTACACTCAGTGTATACATCACCTTGAGCAAATGGAAGTTGGCAAACAATAACATAGATGCTTGTGCTTAGGGTTGCAAAGCTACCGGTAATTTACCAAAGTTACTGGAATCTTCAGTAATTTGGGTAATTAACAGAATATCTATGGTAATCTATCATAACTTTGGTAATTTATAATTGAATAACATATTTTTTTTATTGTTCATATATATTATTAATGTATTATATCTGTGTCCATATTGTCCATGAGTTTAGTACATAGACCATATGTTTCAAGAGAACAACAGCCTAATTAATGAAAAAAGCCTGTAATAAACAATGGCATTATTTTCAATTAACTCTGCAACTCTTCCAACTGTCACATTTTTCACAACTGCCACCAGTTTGTCACCGAGACATTGACAACAAATAGATGCTGACATATCAAAATAAAAAACTGTTAAAAAATATTTCAGGCTGAAACCCTCATATTAAACACCAATGGTATTCACAAAGTGTATGGTTTATATATAGGATAATGTTTAACAGCTGTCATTCTATATTTTTATTGAATTATTTCAGATATTTTACATGTGGTAAGGCCACACAGAGGGCCAGAGATGATTACAGACACCTGTGATAATCAGAAGAACCGAAAAGGGCCACTAGATGTCTTGTAATAGATTACATAGAATCCTTGAAAGATACCAAAATTCTGGTAGTTTGCTGGTAAACTGAAAGTTTCCAGTAATATACATTCCCTTTGCAACCCTACTTGTGCTACAGTAAAATGTCTCTACTGACCTCTTATGGTTAAAAGTTATTACTGCTACCTTTTACTGTGGCAAGGGTTTAGAGCAAAGGCTACCTTGTTTGTGCATGGGTTTAAAGTGGGAAATTAACGGTTTTCTGGTATTTACTTAATTCACAGCAGAACATGGTTCGTGGATGGGAGTGCCATGAATTCCCCTGACACATCCAGAACTCCAGCTACAGTATGTGCCAGTGGACATCCCTACATGTGGGTATGATCACTGCGCTTTGGTTTGATGAGTGCTATCAGTCTTGAGTCTGTGGAAGTACAGAATTAGTTGTGTTGTTTCTTGTTGTGTTGTGAAGAGATCAGATGAAGGAGAAGGAGGGCTTTGGAAAAGAACATCTGAGGGTGAGAACCCCAGCTCTGCCTGCCTCTGCCAACTCTTTCCCCTGGTTGGGCTAGCCTCCCTCTGGCTGTGTACCCTCCTGTTTAGTTTAGGGGCATCAGGGCTTGTCGCTCTGAATAAACTAGTGCCCAAGGAGCAGCGGGCAAGGGGGCTGCCAGCAGCCTGTCAGGCAGAGGCTGGTACAGGGAGCTAAGGGCCCCAATGCAGGCTACTGTAGGGCCACCCCAGGAACAGATCAGGCCCCACAGGCCCTGTACAGGAAGCATATGGAGGAGTGAGTGAGGGAGACAGGCGGAGCGCCTCAAAACCCAGACACTAGGCAGCACTTAGGCTTCCCCCATAGAGCAGGACGTGCACACGTACACACACAATGGAGGACACCGGAGGAGGGAGGAAGGAAGGAGTGTGACGTTAACGTGTCCTTATGTCTCTGAGTTGGTGCTGTCGCATCACTTCTATCACTAGCCATCAGCCTAATCACAATCATTATTTGTTATTTGATCTGGGGTGAGGAGGGTGCCAAGACCTTTTACTTGATATCCATTCATGACAGTCAGAGTTCTTACTCTTTTTCAATGTTCTCTTTAACTCAGTCAATACCAATAGGCTGCAGGCAACATTTGAGGGGTTCTGACCCGGTTCTAAACCCCTCCTGAATTGTGTGTTTTGCCTACACACTTCCTTTGTTCTGAATCCACCCATAGCAGCCATTCAACTGTACGGTCTACAGAGGCTGAGATATTGAGGAGTTTGTGAGACAAGACACCATCCCGAAAACGGTTCTTCTCATGAAAAAGCAGTGAAGTACTGAAGGAGAAGACTTCCTTTTGTTCTTTCACAAAAATTATGTAGGCTTGATAAATGCAGTAGCACAATATTTGAAAAATGTAAATTTTCAGATGTCACAGTGCCAATTACACAGTAATGCTCAATGTATGTTGAAGATAATAGTTTAAAGGTCAAGATAAAGTAAAGGTTGCCTGTTTTGGTCTTGGTCGATCGTCTCTGTTCTGGAAGTGTGTGTTATGCAGTCAGTACCACTAGATGGAAGCAAACCATTGTTTGATCTAGAGTTTCAGCGCAGCGTAACTTACCCACAGTGCTTCATGTTTTGTGGCTTGTCCATGCGGATAGCCAGTTTGATCTTCAGGTCACTGTCAGGGCAGCCTTTGGACACAGACATCTTATGTAGTTCTGACTGTTTGGGACTGTTGGGGGTCGGATGGAGCACAACCTGGAAGCACAATGGCATATCTAGTATACCTATTATACAAGTCAAGTCAAGTCATACATAAAGCACACAGCCATGTAAGGTTGTATCAATATATATGTCTATGTATATGTATAAGATAGTATCAATGTATACACCATATTCATGTCAAAATAGCAACTGTTTTGAAATGTGAAAAACGAGTTTGCTGCTAACTATGGCTCCAGTCGTGTAGGCTCTTACCCTGCCCAGCTCTTTGTCCTCCAGGGCCAGTACTCCTGTGCTCTCAGTAAACAGCTTCACCTTGACGGCTGGGAGGGGGTGTGTGGTGGTGAAGTCCCCCTGGGTCCCCCAGCTGGAACACACACAAGACCACAGGGAGAGACAAGGGTTAAATAGTGACATGATATGTTTCACATGGAAATGGGTGTCCTGTTTCTCTGTTACAGATAATTTATTAATCACACATTTTATCTTTTCACAGAAGAGTGAGAAGAGAATTTGAATGTTAAAATCCACTTTATTGTATCAAGACACTACACTACAGCAGTGAGGAGAGAGAGAGAGCGAGCGAGAGAGTGTGTGTGTGTGTGTGTACAACACTGATGTATTCAGAAGACACACTCTGAGGAAGAGATAGCACAGGGAAATCTTGACAGCACAAGCACTATTCATAATTCCTAGATCACTCAGCATGCCTTTGGGATACATCTCAACCATCTGTGTCACTTCGTACTGATGGGCTGTATCTCCTTTCTATGTGGTCTCATATCTGTGACGAAAATCCCAAGTTTTGCACTTAAGTCCTGTACTCACGGCGGTTACCATCTATGAAGCATTTCCCAGATGTGATGGATCCACAGCGTGAGTATTACTTTGTAACGTTTAACTACTATACAAGTCTGTAAGCGGAATATACAGTAAGTGGTATCTCTGGCACACCCAACTGAAGAAGGAGATGGAGGGTGTTTGAGTGGGGATGCTATTATAGAGTGTCGTGAAAACTGTTGATAACGTGATTCAAGTTCATTGTGCCACAGGGTTATTGTTGGTAGAGAGCATATACTGTACCTACAGTGAGGGAAAAAAGTATTTGATCCCCTGCTTATTTTGTACGTTTGCCCACTGACAAAGAAATGATCAGTCTATAATTTTAATGGTAGGTTTATATGAACAGTAAGAGACAGAATAACAATACAAAAATCCAGAAAAACGCATGTCAAAAATGTTATAAATTGATTTGCATTTTAATGAGGGAAATAAGTATTTGACCCCCTCTCAATCAGAAAGATTTCTGGCTCCCAGGTGTCTTTTATACAGTTAACGAGCTGAGATTAGGAGCACAATCTTAAAGGGAGTGCTCCTAATCTCAGCTTGTTACCTGTATAAAAGACACCTGTCCACAGAAGCAATCAATCAATCAGATTCCAAACTCTCCAGCATGGCCAAGACCAAAGAGCTCTCCAAGGATGTCAGGGACAAGATTGTAGACCTACACAAGGATGGAATGGGCTACAAGACCATCGCCAAGCAGCTTGGTGAGAAGGTGACAACAGTTGGTGCGATTATTCGCAAATGGAAGAAACACAAAATAACTGTCAATCTCCCTCGGCCTGGGGCTCCATGCAAGGTCTCACCTCATGGAGTTGCAATAATCATGAGAACGGTGAGAAATCAGCCCAGAACTACACGGGAGGATCTTGTCAATGATCTCAAGGCAGCTGGGACTATAGTCACCAAGAAAACAATTGGTAACACACTACGCCGTGAAGGAAATCCTGCAGTACCCGCAAGGTCTACTGCTCAAGAAAGCACATATACAGGCCCGTCTGAAGTTTGCCAATGAACATCTGAATGATTCAGAGGAGAACTGTGTGAAAGTGTTGTGGTCAGATGAGACCAAAATGGAGCTCTTTGGCATCAACTCAACTCGCCGTGTTTGGAGGAGGAGGAATGCTGCCTATGACCCCAAGAACACCATCCCCACCGTCAAACATGGAGGTGGAAACATTGGGGTGTATAGTTTTGGGGGTGTTTTTCTGCTAAGGGGACAGGACAACTTCACCGCATCAAAGGGATGATGGACGGGGCCATGTACCGTCAAATCTTGGGTGAGAACCTCCTGCCCTCAGCCAGGGCATTGAAAATGGGTCATGGATGGGTATTCCAGCATGACAATGACCCAAAACACACGGCCAAGGCAACAAAGGAGTGGCTCAAGAAGAAGCACATTAAGGTCCTGGAGTGGCCTAGCCAGTCTCCAGACCTTAATCCCATAGAAAATCTGTGGAGGGAGCTGAAGGTTCGAGTTGCCAAACGTCAGCCTCGAAACCTTAATGACTTGGAGAAGATCTGCAAAGAGGAGTGGAACAAAATCCCTCCTGAAATGTGTGCAAACCTGGTGGCCAACTACAAGAAACGTCTGACCTCAGTGATTGCCAACAAGGGTTTTGCCACCAGGTACTAACTCATGTTTTGCAGAGGGGTCAAATACTTATTTCCCTCATTAAAATGCAAATCAATTTATAACATTTTTGACATGCGTTTTTCTGTATTTATTTGTTTTTATTCTGTCTCTCACTGTTCAAATAAACCTACCATTAAAATTATAGACTGATCATATCTTTGTCAGTGGGCAAATGTACAAAATCAGCAGGGGATCAAATACTTTTTTCCCTCACTGTACATAACCAGCAATAACGTTATCTAACGTCTTTAGCTAAGTTACATCAGAGAGGTCATGATATTCCAGTATCTCTGGTTATACTCACCACCATCAGTCGTTGCACACCAAGCTAGCGTTACTGGTGCAGCCTTGGGGACCGACGAACTCCAACCACCTATTCCACATTCTAGGGTCCTTCGGCAGGGCATGCAAACCACAGAACTTTGACTGTGGAGGCATTGTCAATCCGTATAGGGGTTTTCAGTCTGCCGTCCTTTGAACACGTTTGGGGTGATGAAACGGAGCCCCATTAAAATGAAGGGAATCGAAGTGGGCAGAGGGGCATGGAGCTTGGCAAAAGGGGGCATGATTTGTTGACATAATTGTAATCCAAACCCAACCTTCATTTACTCGTTGTGAAGCACTGAGGTTCCAAACTTATTTTAGATGAGACTGACTTTATTACCAAAATTATCCTATTTACACTTTGTAGTCAATTTTGACACAATAATAAATGTTTCTGACTGATATCGATGACACATAGGCCGTTTCCAAAGGGATTAGTTGCTTTTTAGGGGCAGTCGCTCTTTAAATGACCAAGGATAAGCAGCCTAAGACTCTGGATGGTTCAGCTGAGATGGAAAAGGACAGAGTTGGTGTCCAGTTAAACATACTTCTTTCCATCCTACCACATACTAACGCACTTACACACACAAAGTCAGACACCATTCAAGCAATTAATTATGTCTAAAACAGTGGTGGTGTCACGCCCTGGCTCTGGGGACTCTTAAATGTTGAGCCAGGGTGTGTAGTTTCTATGTTGTGTTTTCTATGTTTAGTTTCTAGATCGTTTAGATCTATGTTGGCCAGGGTGGTTCCCAATCAGAGGCAGCTGTAGCTCGTTGTCTCTGATTGGGGACCATACTTAGGTAGCCTGTTGGCACTAGTGGGTTGTGGGATCTTGTTCCGTGTAAGGTATGTTGTTTGTGTGCTACCTTGGACTTCACGTTTCGTTTGTTGTTTTGGTTGTGTGTATATTCGTTAAATAAACATGAATGCATATCACGCTGCGCCTTGGTCCTTCTCGTTCGTTAACGATCGTGACAGGTGGCTGTGAGAGGGGCGAGCCCTGCACCCTCACTCCTGGACAAATACATCAATGTGTACAGCAGCGGCTCAACTGGCAAATTAGAGAGCGGCAATCAGGGAACGAAATAAACATTGCACCTACTGTGTATCATTGACCTTGACTTCTACAGTGCCTTGCAATAGTATTCATCCCCCTTGGCGTTTTTACTATTTTGTTGCATTACAACCTGTAATTTAAATGGATTTTTATTTGGATTTCATGTAATGGACATACACAAAATAGTCCAAATTGCTGAAGTGAAATGAAAATAAACGTATTTCAAAAAATTCTAAAAAATAAATAAAGTTAAAGTGGTGCATGCATATGTATTCACCCCCTTTGCTATGAACCCCCTAAATAAGATCTGGTGCAACCAATTACCTTCAGAACTCACATAATTAGTTAGATAAAGTCTACCTGTGTGCAATCTAAGTGTCACATGATCTGTCACATGATCTAAGTGTAAATATACACCTGTTCTGAAAGGCCCCATTGTCTGCAACACCACGAAGGAAGGGGCACCACCAAGCAAGCGGCACCATGAAGACCAAGGAGCTCTCCAAACAGGTCAGGGACAAAGTTGTGGAGAAGTACAGATCAGGGTTGGGTTCTAAGAAAAATCTGAAACTTTGAACATCCCACGGATTGCTTGAAGAAAAAAATAAGCAAACACATTTGGTGTTCGCCAAAAGGCATGTCGGACACTCCCCAAACATATGGAAGAAGGTACTCTGGTCAGATGAGACTAAAATTGAGCTTTTTGGCCATCAAGGAAAACGCTATGTCTGGCACAAACCCAACACCTCTCATCACCCCGAGAACACCATCAATGTTTTTCATCGGCAGGGACTGGGAAACTGGTCAGAATTGAAGGAATGATGGATGGCGCTAAATACAGGGAAATTCTTGAGGGAAACCTGTTTCAGTCTTCCAGAGATTTGAGACTGGGACGGAGGTTCACCTTCCAGCAGGACAATGACCCTAAGCATACTGCTAAAGCAACACTTGAGTGGTTTAATCGGAAATATTTAAATGTCTTGGAATGGCCTAGTCAAAGCCCAGACCTCAATCCAATTGAGAATCTGTGGTATGACTTAAAGATTGCTGTACACCAGCGGAACCCATCCAACATGAAGGAGCTGGAGCAGTTTTGCCTTGAAGAATGGGCAAAAATCCCAG